GATTCCAGAGGAACGGGGCTTGGTAGCCGAAAGCTCTAGCACCTGACCTTTTTTTGTGGATTCTGGGAACCACCAACAGACCTGCACTCTGGGATCTTAATGCCCTAGAGGGGCAATAGGAGATTAAAAGATCCTGTAGGTAGGATGGTCCCTGACCATTGAGCACTTTGTATATGAGTAAAAGTATTTTAAAATCAATCCTGGACTTAACTGGTAGCCAGTGCAATGCGTCTAAAACAGGAGTGATGTGGTCCATCTTTTTCGTTGCTGTTAAAACCTGTGCTGCAGCATTTTGTATTAATTGAAGGGTCTTTAATGATGAGTTTGGACAGCCTGATAAAAGGGAATTGCAATAATCCAGCTTGGAGGTGATAAAAGCATGGATTAGTGTTTCTGCATTGTTGTGATTTAGGATGTGCCTGATTTTTGCAATATTCCGTAGATGGAAGTAGGCAGTTCTTGAAGTTTGCTTTATATGGGATTTAAAAGACAAATCCTCGTCAAAAATAACAGCAAGATTTTTTTTCGTGGTGCTGGAGGTCATGGTAATACAATTCGAAGAAATTATGTTGTTGGACAGTTTGTTCCGAAGGTGCTGGGAGCCTAGTATAATGACTTGTGTTTTGTCGGAGTTTAATAATAGAAAGTTGCTGGTCATCCATGTCTTTATGTCTGTGAGACATTCTTGCAGTTTAACTAATGGAAATTATACATCTGGTTTAATTGATAGATACAATTGTGTATCATCCGCATAACAATGACAATTGATGGAGTTATTACTTATGATATTGCCCAATGGTAGCATATATATGATGAACAGGATGGGTCCAAGATATGACAACAATAACATTCAACATGGATCACAATTGATACAGCATACACAAAAAAGAGAGAGAAAGATTTAGGGTGTTTGGCATGTTGTGAATGCGGACCTATAGATAGTTCAGAATAAATTCTCCACAACTAACAACAGGGTAAAGGTTGGCTCTCTTTCGTGCCTTAAGCTGACCTTCCGCTTCCTGCAGCAGCTGTGAGATGACCTCCATAGAGTTCTGTGCATTGCATGGAGGAACTGTGGATTGTGGAGGTGCAGAGGAAGGGCAAGGAGGGGAAACCGATGAGTCAGGGCTCCTTTGTGCAGAGTCCGCCGTGGGGAACATTACCTCGGAAATTACCTGTCGAAGCACAAAGAGAACATCCTGCTAGTAAATGCTTCTTTAATTAGCATTATTGCATTCTACATCCCCAAAACATGATATGAAATATTAATAAATACAATGATGTTTGACATCTAAACAATGTGCACAGTGATGGCCTTTATGTAATGTGATTCTAATGAGGTCGGACATGTACACCTGATTATCTAAATTATTTAATGCCTCACACAACATATTTCTTGAAGACAAACTAAAAGAACTTAAGTATAGGTTTCTTGTGTTTGATACTCACCCTGTTTAATAAAAACGAATAATTTAAAATGCATACATTTGCCTCAAATTATTGAATTTTGCATAGCAACTTCTTTACGTTTATCCTATACTGTATACTGCTTGCAAGTTATAACAAAATTGAGACAAACTATGCAAACAACCTCTGAGGCTTCATATTGCCCTTGTCTAACAAACAACATGGAGAAGAATAAAGAAAAAAGCTTAAGAACCTGTCCTAAGGCCCTGTGGATTGGAGAAGGGGGCGGTGCATGATCGCCAGTACAGCTTTCCCTGGAAAACCCCTGGCGTTGCTCCTGCAGCGGCTGCTCTGCCCACCGCATGACCTTTTTGGAAACTATTGGTTGTGAAGAACTTCTCTTTGTAGAGCCAGCGCCAGCAGCATGTTCCCTATTCACAGTATCTTTGCAAATTATTGTATATTGAGCAATCAGTCTTTAATTTATATTACACTGTTAGAACTTTTCAATCCTACCTCGTTGATTTCTTCTGCTTTCTGATTGACGGGGCCGCCTTCTCCTCCTTCTTCTCCGATTCTTTTGTTTGGGCTTTCTCTCTCTTGCTCCTCTCAGATCTTTTCTGGTGACTAACACCTACTCTTTCTATTATTCCCGATGAAGCAGGTGTTGGGCATGGCATATGTGCATGAGAAGGTTGATCAGTGATGGTGGTCATTATGTTTGCAGGGACTTGGATCTTTTTACAGGCAATTTTGGTGCGATCTATACTTTTTGAAGTTTTGTGTTTCATGGTAGCATGAGACGACTGGATTGGGCAGGGCAAGACATCACAGAGTAAATGCATGTGGGCAGGAACATGTGCAATAGTTTGGGGATGAGAGACGGAAGAGCCAGAGACATCAAAGGCAGGGAAGGGAGGTGGACCTGAAGCCGGGGGGGAGGATTTGTGAGCTTCTTTGGTGTCTAGTTGTGGAGCTGTGATTTGCAGATGTGTATCTTTTTGTGAGACGTCAGGAGGTTGAATACTCCGGTGTTGCTATGAAAGATACAAGAAAGAGGAAAATAAAACATCCTGTAAATCTGCAATTATTATACTAAAAAAAATAAAAATGTCAAATACTCTGACTCAAACCTTGTAAGCCTGTCCTCTAGCTGAGGCATTGTTTGAACTGGGGGCCTGCCAGCTGAAAGTGGGGCCAAGCAGACTGGTCTGTTGCGGGGGCCACTCCCGGGCCTGCTCAATCTTTCTCCTTAAACGCCACTGGAACAGTATGTCCTCTTCCCGGCGTGTGGGAGGCACCAGAGAAGGAATGACAGAGGATCTTTGGAAGAACACAGCTCGGTCTGAGTCTGAGCAGGCCTTTGCTGTAAATATTAATAAACACATTGCATAATATAACTAACACTGCACTACAGTTTAAAAACAGGCATGAACAAATATGAATCTTCTAGGAAAAGTTGGATGAGATGGGAACGGCATTGAGGCAGTTTGTATTAGAGTAAGAGTTACAAAACTCCTTCTCAAAAATCAAATGAGTATTACTATGTAACACTCTTGCCTTACCAGTAGATGTTATTAAACTGGGAATCAAAGGTCTTCGCGGAGGCTCATCTACGCTGACTGGAGAAGAGAAATCTGAGCAATCCAGGCCCTCTGAGCTGACAAGTATAGATCCATCACTCAGAGTACATTCGCTGTTAGAAAGACAGAAGATACTTACAATAATTACATTTTATCATATCACATTTATCATAAATGTAATTTGCTTGTATTCATACCCTCTCAGCAAAAGTTGGTTGGCTTTTTCTTGAAGCTGTAGTAGCTCTACCGCATCGTCAAATTCCATCTGGGAGGTGTCTGACAAAATCTGAGCAGTAAAGAGAATCGACAAACCAATGAAAAAGAACAGTTGCACATTGATTTAGCAGCATTTACGTTTTCCTTCACATTATCTAGGTTCATATTGCTAACACTATACCGAGAAGTTCTTTTACAATTTTGTGAAAGTGATTCATCTGACATGACCAGGCTTGCAATCTATAAATGTGTCAAACATGGGTGCATAAACAGTGGCTTCCCAGGTATCTAGTAAACAGAGAAAGTTTCCAAATGGACATGTGGTGCATGGTTGAAATGCAAATATTTATATTTTGGTATAAGAAGTCTCTACTCCTGCAGACACTCCGTTTCCTTGGCATCCAGACAAACTTGCCTTATACAACGGGGCAGGGTGCAGAGTGCAGACCCAATGGTCCAGATATAAAAGCATGTGGAAACAATAAAACAAGATGGAATGGTATCTGGTGTTTTGGAAAGTCGTTTTTGGTAATTATTAAAGAAATACATTTGGCAAGTTTATTTCAAGACAGTAACAAGCCATATTGTTTGGTCCCACAGCTCACAAAAGCACTCACACTAAGGGATCCTCTGCATGGGGAGGGGGATCTGTCATGTTGACGTTGTCCAGCTGGACTGAAGCTGGCAGGTCCATGGTCATCTTTCATAGGCTTTATAACTTCTGTTAAGAGAAAGGTATCCCTCAGAAAGGTTATACCAGCTAAGGTGCTTTCCACATTGAAATTAGAGAGCTGGTGAAATGTAATAACCACTTATATAAAAAGTAAACATTAAAGGGAGAATCTACCTCTGTCTGTTGTTTTAGTTGGTGTTGAACTGCAAGGTAAAGATGAGGGTGACATCCACCAAAAAGGCAGCTGCTTCTCTTCTATGGCAGAAGGCATCTGCTGGCGCTCCTCTCGACTCTGTGGTTGACCATTGCGAAAGCGATCTATGTACCTAAGGGAGAAAATATCAATGTTTGTTATGACTCGTGATATAAATAGTAAAGGACCACTAACCAGTTTCTATATCTCCCAATCTTTATATCACAGTGACCATCCCATGGTAATGTTCAGTCATGCCTCATATATTGCTACTGCAAGAAAAATAGTTCTAATAAAGATGATAACTTAGGGCATAAGTATTGCTACTCAGGATATATTGAGGATTCTGAGTAATTTAAACTTACTTTGCCATCACTGAACTCTGCTGAACTTCAAAATCTGAGGAAAATGTGGATTTTCCTGCTCTAGCACTCTGTTTAGATGTCTCCATGTCAGAAGAAGTACTGCTGGCAAGAGAAGATCCACAGTCGGTGGAGGGCCAGGATTCTTCAAACACAGGCTGTCTATCCGTGGAAACAAAGTGTAGGTCACGTTTGTCATACGGCCGTTGGTTCTCTGGGCTCAGACTGTGTAATTGTGCACTGGATCGTTGGTTTAAACGTTCTGGACTCAGAGTCTGCAAAAGAACAACAAAGTGAGAGACATGTTTGAGATAACTTAATAATTGCAGTAGGCTAAACTTGGAGTCAGCTTTAAAACATACCGTTTTTTTCTCTTTCTTTGACAGGGATTGTTTACGGGATGGATGATGATGTGCCTTCCCCACTTTGGATGCTGGCTCGAAGGGATTCTGCCTTGTGAACACAGGTGTACTGTAAAAAAAGAAATTACATTTGTGACCAACTGTAGCTATTGTTAAGGGTATTATAAATAATGTGATATTTATATCTTACCTGGATTTCATTACAGCTTTTGAAAGTCAGAGGTGATTCTTACGAGCAAGAAAACAGGATGCGCAGTATAAATTGTTTGTGCTTCAGATTTATATCGAATCCCAAATTAGCTTTTTGACAATAAATTATAGGTCGTCACGTCAGCCTGACTTTACATAATTGCAACAAACTGTTAACTAAGATGATAGCACATTATTCACCAGCCTGCTGAGTTGACTTGGCATGTCCACAAAAGAAAGTTACCATGGAGTCACACGCCAGTACGACATAAATTATGCATAAAATAGCTAATTAAGATGCTACAGCAGAAACATGGAAAGGTCTTATACATCCAACGATTAAAAAAAGGAAACTAAACACATAATTACTTTGCTCTTTTGGACATATATCACATAACCGATACAACCCGAAGAAAGCGCCACTGTTTATGTCGATCGTTATTTACTGAGAGCCATACAGCCAATAGTAACCGGATTTGTTCATGATGGACATAACAGTTACCCAATCACGTAGAACGCCTTCGTAGCCCAAGTGCCAATCAGTCAGTAGGAAACCGGAAGCGCGCGGAAGAGGAAAGTCTGGTCGATCGAAAACAAGCTAAGTTAGCAACGGTCATTTGAGCTAGTAAACGCGACGGTCTTTAAACGACACGTCTGACCTTTATTTTAATTTATAAAAATCACCACGGGAAACAGTCAGTCAACTAATTGTCATCGATGAATGTAGATATTATTGAGCTTGAAAAACTAGCTTTAACTTTATACAAACAGGTGGCTAGCTGATTGTAAACAGTAAGATAACTGCAGCTAACGACTAGCTAAATTGGCAAACGTTAGTAAGACAACGTCCTGTAGCATCCATATGCTATTGTCAAGTAGCACCAGTTACAGAAAACAAACCCGAGATTGGTGACCGAGAGTGAACGCCGCATTCTAAAAGTTGGCTTTCACCCAATTAACGCTGACGTTACAAACAGGTGGGGATAATGCACCACGTCAAGATAAAGACTGAAAGGCCAGGTGAGTAACGCTGCTACATTTTTCACTTTAAATGAATGTAATCGATGATCAAGTCCCCCTGACGTAAGCACACGTATTGCATTTGGTCAGCCACTACCTACATGCAGTGATAAAGTTGCCATGCATTCAAATGAACTCTTCGTGGTCCATTACTGCTTTTTTTTATTTTTATAAAATCCCAATTGTTTACATCTTATATCAATGCTTCTTCAGATTCAGAGGGTGCTGGTGCACGCAGCCGATTGGATGATGTGCTCAAGGGACTTGTGGAGAGGAGTGAAAGTGAAAAGTCAGTTAGTGTTAAAATGTTAAACTCATCTCATCATTGTCACTATTTTCCAATCAGACTAATGTCGTTGTGTTTGAACAGGGAACAAAATGAAGGGGATACTGGAAAAATATCAGCGGATTCCTTAAACAAGTATGTTTGTAAAATGTACAGTATAATATGTTGTAGCTGGTGACGTTATTAATAAATAAATACAAATCTATATTATTTCAATATTAAATAAATACAAAGTGTTAAAGCTTGTTTTGATATTTCATGTTTTACTTTCCATCTCTAGGGATTTGTCTCCATCATCTGCTGGAAAAAGGCAAGTGTCTTTTTTCTACTGGGTTGACAATACCTTAACATTTTATTTTAATTATCTGCATTTGTAGCTCAAAATCAAACCTTGCCATTTCCTGTTTTATAGTTCTACATTGTTTGCACACCATAATCTAAATCTAAAGGCCCTATGCTTGTTTTGACTCGTCCAGGCCGTCAGCTCGATTCCCACAGCACCGGAGGAAGAAGCGAAAAGAGATGGATGAGGGCATACCAGAAAGCAATCAACACAAACAAAGTAAATGTTGTGAAAATATAAGAAATCATAAAATGTGTCCTTTTTATCCCTGAATTACTGTGTGCTCACCTTACCTACCACTTTATTGCACAACTCCTTACCTTTTTTCGTTCTATTGTCTGTCTTTCTCCCCTTGTTAGATGCTTATATTATTAAGTTGTTTGATCGCAGCGTGGATCTGGCTCAGTTCAACACCAGCACCCCACTGTATCCTATTTGCCGTGCTTGGATGAGAAACAACCCATCTGTTCGAGTGCCGCCTGCTTCCCCGAGCCCCCCCCACAGCATGGTGGAGGACGAGGTGAGGCTACCCATGATACTGGATTATCTTTTTTTTATATTCACAAGCATATTTTTTGATGGCCAGGAATTGTTTAAAATGAAGCACAGTGTCATCTGAAAATTGTACACATCTGTAGGCTATATACTTAAAAAAATACCTACAAAAATATTTGGACACTAAATGGTTAAACGATTTTACAAAAACCTTTTATAAGACAAAACGTTAACGGAACATTGCATTAATGCATTTATAATGTGCTCTTACAAAACAGTATCACCTCTCTGTATGTCTACCTGCATAAGGCTTGTGGCTAACACATATAAAACTCTTATTCAGGGTGTCCGCGGGGTCTTAAAAAGTATTAAAAGTTGATAAATCAATTTAGCGAAAATTAAGGCTATTAAAAAGTATTAAACAGCATTTTCCAAGGTATTAAGAAGTCCCACAACAACGACAACAGAAAAACCCTTAATTTACTGAAACGACATGTCGGGAGAAACCCTCAAGGCGGGCCCATGCATTAGCGCGCCGTAAAATGCTGGCTTCTTTATTTTAAGTGGGGGGGGGGGGGGACTAAACGACTACGGTAACGGGTCCCAAGGTGGGTAGACCGGCATACGCAACGCTCTGGGGGTCCGACGGCTCCGTGTGTAAGCCCTATATGATCATTTTCTGATAGCTATGAAATAGCCCGCCTCCCTCTCCCAACGTCTCCTGCTGCTGCTGGGCTGTCAGAAGAGGGGGAGGAAAAGAGAGGCAGGCACCGTTTATTAAATATTATTATACGGAGAACAGAGTCGTTATCAATTTGTTTTAAAGCTCAATAAATAACAAAGAAGACCTCTGACCGGCACTTTTCTAATTTTGTACGGAAGATTTCAACTTTAACGGACATGTTGACCGGCGGAACATTTTTTTAACGGAAACTCTGCCGCACGGTCCCCTCGTTCCTTGGAAGAGGCGGAGAGGTGGGTGTTTTTCATCTGCTGTTGGACTACCTGAGAGATACAGCAGGAGAACACGCCGTCCACCGCGGAGAATAAACAGAAGGGCAACCATGGCAACCATGCTCCGGGGTCTTCTTCGCTGCTTTTGGTGTATTTTGTGGCGACAGCAGCGCCATTTACAGGCCTGGCATATGTACTACAGCGTTTCCAGCATTTCCAGCGGTCTAGTGTGAACGGACACATTAATGAATCGAATGCGTGTGAACGGAAGACTTTTTTGCGCTTGTGTATGCGTTTTACCGTATGCGTCCTCGTGGGGCCGGGGTCCAAGCCAAACTATATCCGGTCACAGAGATCTGCTATTTTGAAGTAAAGTCAACACATATCGACCCTAAATATAGTCTATATTAAGACAGGGCTCTCAAGTTTTGAACAGAGTTCAAAGTGAGATTTTGGCAGCAGTGTTTGGTACTCCAACTTCTGGCTCCCCTCAAAGTTCCCATGAAGCCCTCTGTACCGCGAATGTCACCGTGGGTGNATAATCAGCAATATTAAAATAATAAAAGGCTTGCAATATTTCAGTTGATTTGTAATGAATCCAGAATGTATGACATTTTTGTTTTTTTAATTGCATTACAGAAAATAAAGAACTTTATCACAATATTCTAATTTTCTGAGACAGTCCTGTATGTGCCAGGGCTTAACCCCGGACAGCCCCAGCCCAATTTAACCCCTGGGTATTTGTGAGGGAGCTCCTATATGGCATTACCCCGCTGAAGCTCACCAAAGTTTAATATATTTCATAGTTCAAAGTTTTGTCAATTGTTTTGTTTATTGGTCAAATACTGGTTTCTAATGGTTTCTGAGGAGTTTTACTGGAATGAAAGAGCACAGAGTACAGAAGCAACAAAGCAGCATACTGCATTAAACCTGACCTTCACAGAGAGGTTGAAGTTCATGTGGAAAGGAGGCTTCAGTAGTCTGTCTGCACTCTGTTTAGTTGTGCTATCTTACAATCAATATAGTAAAGGTGAGGTAAAGTGTGTCGCCAATGTAACCGGTTAGAACTCAAAGTTGCGATGAGGTCTTAAAATGTATGGAAAGGGTCTTAAAAAAGGTCTTAAAAGGTATTAAATTTGACCTCAGGATTCCTGCATATACCCTGTTATTAAAGACAGGAGTGTTGTGCTCTCCTCCCAGTCCCTTCTGGAAAATACAATTTCAGTGAGCACCTCAAGCATAATTCTATATGATCGTTAAATGGATGATGGTTGTTGAATGTCTCTACAGAAGATATTTCAGAATCCTTGCTAAACTAAAATGGGATAATTGCATAAACGTTTTTTGTGTTTGATTTAGTAATTTAACCTTTCCGTCTAATTGTAAAACTTCAGTTCTGATTTTGATAAATACGTTTTACTTGTTTATAGTACTAAATGCATCATTAGTTGTTTCTTTCCATGATCTTTGGGAATTATAAATCCAGGAATAATTTATGTAAATGGCTGTTAACCTTTTTTTGTATCCACATGTCTTTCTTTCTCCAGATGACAGACATGATGAATGGTAAAGGCCAGATTGTGTACAGACTGCCTCCTCCAACAGCCTGTCCTGTCAACTCATCTGGTGAACCCATCAACCTCAGGATCCCACTGACTGAAAAACCCACTGTGACCAAGGTTCTAAAAACAATATGCATGATAATCATTCATTGTCTGAATAGTGATACGACACACATTTATTATGACATCATACGCATGAGCTAAATAAGAGAGGTTTAATAAACTAAATCTGACATTTTTTTCTTTCCACAGTTGACAGATTCAGCTCCTGTATCAGGTTCTCTCATATGTGACCACATGGAGCGTTGGAAAAAGATAAGGCACAAGTATGTTCTTCATTAAAAGCTCCTTGAAATGAGAATAATTATAAACATTTGCATTGCCATGTGCACTGTAGTCAACCCACCGTGAGGGCAGGGTTTCACCCATGGGTGTGTTTCTCTCGGTAAACATGAAACATATTTGAATTGTTGCCGGTATCGATTCGGTCATGCTGCACACTTTAGGGCGTGTGAGTAAACCAGATTTTCAAACAACTGGAACCGTCACGCGTTTGTGAGATGAGCTGACACATTTTGTTATTTTTAAATTACAGGTGGAAGGAATGCTCTAACAAGAACCAGTTGAGATACAGCGAGAGTATCAAGGTCCTGAAGGAGATGAAGGAGCTCTATGATCGCTAACTGCCTCGTACTGCAGCTCTCCACCATAGAATGGACTCTATGCAATTAAAAGGGAGCCACAGCGTAACAGTCCATTTTTGAATAAACACTTATTCAAAGGAAAGCATTAACAGATCCCTCAGCCCTATTAAGACTATATTGTACATGACGGCAGAAAAAAAGATTATTTGAAGGAGTTTCAAGTTTGCTTCAATTTGCTGTGCTGGAATGTGTTCATGCAGGACTTTATTCATACAATTTTAAGAATTTTGAATAAACAATTCCCCTATCCTGGAGCATCAACATTGAAGTCAATTGTGATTATTTTAAAATGTCAAACTTGCTTCCTTGTCTCTAACACAGGTATAAGAGAATACAGCCAATATACAAGCGGTCTGGCTTGGAGCATTAATAAGTCTATATGTGAAGCCCATAGATAACATTTATGGCTTCACTCACTTTCTTCTGAAATGCATACTAGTAGCGTGTTAGTTCTTAATCAACCATCCTATCCATAGGTGACACCATACTGCAAATGAGATTTAGCTAATGCCCACATATTTAAACTTGTTCTCTGTTGTAATATTGCTGATTTCAGGGGGGGGGCAAGTGCCCCCATACCACTGACCAGGGACCCCCCCTCTGGCCCCCCTCCAAAAAAAAGGTTACAATATTACGATTTATTGGAACTAAATGAAATCAGAGACCCGGATGTACAGTGGAGACTAAACTGTTCATAACCTTATATAAAAGCAAATACTGTTTATGTGTTTTAATTCAATTGTCACTTAAGTTACTAAAACAAATACTCTAAATGAAAAAAACTACTGAAACAAAGGACTTTAACTTAAATGTACTAAAACAAATGCCTTTAAAAAAACAAATACCAAATTTTACAGTATTTTATGTTAATTTTACACAATTACTTTATATACTGTCTTTGTCCTTTAACCCACTTTTATTGTGCCCCCCCACCCCAGTAAAATATTGGTCTAGAACCGCCACTGGCTGTTTTGTTGGAAGTAACAGCAAATTCAACTCAGTATGTACTACAGTATACATATTTACAAAACTGCAGAGCAGCGACCCTTTGAATTACAAGTGTCATTAGGAGGCACAATTTATATAATTATAAAACAACCTTAATTATTAGTTCTTTCTATTTCTAGGGTCGTCTTCTAATTCACTTTAGACAATCAAATAGTGGTATATCAAGATTTGTTAATTCCCAAACTAAGAAAGGCTAACACAGTACTATGTGCACTCCCATAGTTGTATTTTCTTAATATTTCTGATTTGTGGTGTGCCATAATCTAGAGGATCTGATTCACAAAGTACTTTTGCAAATGCAAGAAGTCAAGCATGCCATTGTGGTTTCCTTTAAGATAAAAAAACACTGAAGAAGGAAGAGAACAGCTCATCAAAAATATGTTTTTATTCACCGTACAAAAATGCATACAGCGCAATTATTGAAGCTCAGCTTTGTGTGACAGTATTATGCAGCTATAGAGGCATGTCAAAACAACATTTGTAAATAACCTCGAAATTGTATTGCTTACAACACTTAAAAGTAAAAAAAACATTACTGTGCACATTATCATGTAATTTTAAGCATTTCCATATGTGATGAATTTATGGGTATAATTTCATTGTACAAAATAATTAATTCTTATACACACACATTCATATTTACATTGCAAGGCCACAGCACACCCCACACAATTATTGATCTAGAGAACTTTGTGATTTCATAAAAAATACATTTGATAGTTAAAAAAAAAAGGTGGAACTTGTCACAGGTGCAACAAATTAACGGGTGTCAGAGATAAGTGTAGACACCGGTTAGGGGTGATAATATAGAGAACATAAAAACGCACAAATATACAAAATATCATCAATCATTCTCTGCACATAGATAGACTAATCAATCCATACTCCATGTTCAGTTTCTACTCTACTTTTGTGATAATTGATTACAAGTTTCATATACTCTGACTAATCTTCATCAGTTCCCAGTGTCTCTCCCTCCGTGCAATGAACAAAAACTGGTTCTGTGGTTGAGAAAGTGGCTGGGCCTTTCATCTCCACGGGTGCAGTAGAGTCAGATTTACGAGAAATCCGTGAAAGGTAGGACGTCAGGGAGCGAGAGGACGTAAATGACAAGTGGTCCTCAGCCAGGGCACTTTCTAGTGCAAAGCACACGGATCGCTTGAGCTTCTGCTGGAATTCATGACACATGAAAACATAGAGAATGGGATTCAGGCAGCTGTTCATAAAACACAGACTCAAAACCAGAGGACCAACAATCTGAACAATGATGTTACCGAGATTTGGGTTAAGAGAGTTTACAAAAATAAAAACATGGAGGGGCAACCAGCAGATGAAGAATGCAAGAACAACAGAGAAAATGACCCGGCGACATCTCTGTTTTCTTGGCTTTTTCAGGTGCCCAGCACGAACAACTATGGCCACATAAGAGACACATATTACCAGGAATGGGATCAGGAAGCCCATAAAAAATCGAAATATGTCAAGAATCCGTGTTTGTTTTCCTGTATTGGGTTTAGGATTACACATTATCTTCTCCCCATGAGGCCAAACCTCTCGAACATGTGCAAATGGAGCGCTGCAGACCCCAGCAGTAATCCAGATGACAGCGCATATGATCTGGGCTTTGCCAACGGTACGCTTGTTTTGTGCCCACACCACGAACCATATTGACAAGCAACGATCCACACTTATGGCTGTCAGAAGAAAGATACTGGCAAACATGTTGACTACAATCACAAAGGTTTTGAGCTTGCATAATACTCGTCCAAACATCCAGTGGTTTCCCTGAGAGGTAGAAATGATTGTGAAAATCAGAAAGGTTGAAAAGAGGAAGTCAGCCAGGGCCAAGTTGAGAAACCAAACTGAGTTAACCGTTCTCTTCATCCTGCAGCCTGTCACGTAGATGACTAGACTGTTGCCAATAGTCCCAAATGCAAATATCAAACAGTAGATGACCAGCGAAGTTGTTTGTAGGGCCCTGCCAACCCTATTATAATCTTCTTGTTCATCCACAGTGGAGTAGGTGTCATTTAATGAGGAGTTGGTGTCATCTAATGAACAACAAAAAATAAGTGCAATTACTGACATTATTGGCCTCTCGTGTGACCACATACAACATCTAAGTTAGTTTAAGCAGTCACAAAATACTTTGCATTAGATTGCATGTTGACTTTCCACTCATTTTACCCAATAACTCTTGTGTTTAGAAAATCAATTATTAACTCAAACTAAAGTTTCTGCACATACATTTCAAATGAATCTGGCAAAAACAATGTTAAACCTTTCTGTTAGTGCTATTTAAAAGCATCACAATAACTGTTTTGTTAAAATTTCTTACCAGTCTCCATTTTTCGGATGCAACGAAGGTCTGTCTTTTATTTGTAAGTTGATATTTATCTGGCTCTGACAATACTTATTCTCCCCCCTATTACTCCTCCTTCTCAGTTCATGCAGCTGCCAATGAAACAGTACTTCTGCTGCTGCCATGGCTTTGTGACAAGGCATTAAGTCATGTACAGGGAGTGGACAAAATAACAAGAACTCCTTAGAACATAATGATCAACAGTTATCTGAATCTAAAATTATTATTCCTATAGAATTAGTATTGATTTTTAAATAGCTGGAGCTAAATAGACATCACTCTAGTAATGTCTTAATATTTGTTGTAAAACATGAAAACCAACACTGTAGTCAAGTTATATTTTATTAATGAGTTTTCACAAATGCATCATCCAAAGCCCATTTAAAAGTAACATTCATGATACAGCTATTATTAATGCTGTATAGAATTATTTGTTGATCACAGTGAGAGCAAGTGTTCTGAGTGTGTTATTTGCACATTAGTTGGAAGCGACAGTCTGGTCGATCCAACTGCGCAGGTAGGACACACGGGCGTACACTGCAGGGGTGCGCACGTTGCAGTTGGAGGTGCCCCAGGACACAATACCCACAAGGGACCACGCTCCACCGTTCTGACAGACCAGAGGGCCACCAGAGTCACCCTGAAATTAGATTTGTTTCTTTTTAAAAGCATGCATGGGGTCATCATTTGAATTCAACCTTGTATGAATCTCCTGTTCAAGCTCTGTGGTGCATTAACAGGACATTCTGTTCGGCCCTGCACAGTTTTCACAAAGGAAGAGGGCTGGTCTGCCATTATTTTAAAATGGCAAACAGGGAAACATGCATTAAGAACATTCACATCAACATGACAGGACATTAGTTAACAAATGACATCAGAGAGCAAATGCTCCTTTTATGTGTTCTGTGAATACCGTCAATTAATGGATTTGGAAAATTGGATATTATGTGCAAATATTTACTTCTATTTACTCATTACCATCATTACCTTTAACAATTTAAAAACACGTTATGATTCACACATTTCTGTAAATTGTTAACTAATGTTTAACGATTAATAAATCAACACATTTGTATGACACATATTTCCTATCAATATTACAATTGGTGTAAATCTGACCAATTGTTGTTTTTAAGAATTGTCTATTTTCCCCAGAAATCTGTATTTCAGGTATGGTTGTTACCTGACAGGAGGAGACTCCAGAAGCACCGGCACAGATCATAGCATCAGTAATCCTGTTAGAACCCCAGTACTGCTTGCACTGAGCCGGGCTGAGCATAGGCAGGGAAGTCTGCTGGAGGTAGCGGGGGCTTGCTGAGAACAAAGTAGAATAAAGGTAATGAGGCTAGTTGCCCTAAAAAATGTGTTACATCGTTCTCAAGGAGGTATGGTTAATCCTGTACAATACTTAGAAGGTGGGCTCACTCACAGGTTTGGCCGGTCTTGCCCCACCCGGTGGTGACACATGAGGTTCCAGTGGGGATGCTGGTGCTGGAGGAGGCCAGGCACACAGGAGTCACACGGGATGTCATCTGAACTGGGGAGGACAGCTTCAGAAGGGTGATGTCATTGTTGAAGTTCTGGGCGTTGTAGTAGGGGTGAGTGATGGCCTGGATGGAGAGGTGAGCACAAATCATGAGCCATGAATGCCAGTGTTTCTCCAGGAAATCCACTGAGATACTATATATTTTTTGAAATAAAGAGAACTTTTGTTGTTACTTACCCTGGAAATTGTCTTGACCTGAATTTGCTCAGCGTTGGACTGACGATCATGTTCTCCCAAAATCACGCGGTGGTTCCTAGAGCTGGAAAAAATTCAAACATACAAAGGAGTGATCACAAAGAGGAACATGTTGGGACTTTTCTCATTTAGATGTGGGAGATGGCAAAAATGACTTACGACACGCGGCAGTGAGCAGCAGTGACAACCCAGTTCTGGCTGATCAGAGATCCTCCACAGAAGTGGAATCCTCTACTGTCCTACAGTTATAACATACATATTAATAATATTGTAATTTTCTGAATTACAGATTAACTTTGTATTACTCAGGTTACCTGAAGGGAGACCTGCCAGGGCCAGGATCCAGACACAGCGTTCTGTCCATTTACAATCTTGTTGTTATCGCTCACTTGGGGCCTGATAGAAGGTACTCCACACCCTGAGGCCAAATCACACGAACGAAAAAAAAGGGGACAAGAATCAAGTTATTTCTTGTACGTGATGCTAGTAATGCATTAGTATATTTCGTGATCAATTCACAAAAATAGCTTGAATTAACTTTAAATGTATAAGTTACATTGAAACAACTCAGGAAATATTTTTATTTTATCTGCATAAATTCGGTATGTACCCTCTCAATGTAGTGCTATGATTTTACAGACTGCAATAAATGCAAATGCAGATTCCACTGTTCTGATTGTGTAGTAGTAACTATTTTAAACGAATGTATGCATATAGTGGTGTATTTCCCTAAAATAAGATTTTAGAAAATTACAATGTGGCTGCTCAGCATCGCAGTATATTGCATCACAATTATATCTTGATATTTAATGCCAGATTCTTGCGAATACACAGCTCTAATCAAAAATGGAAATGCTTGTTCCAATGTGGTGAATGTATATACCAAGAAGTGTTCTAGAACACAGTCACAGAAAGGTTTTCTACAGATAATGGATCTGCTGGTAAACAGCCAGACACTTACCCAGTGCAGAGACCACAAGAGCAAAACAACTGACAAGGAAGAACATGGTCACGTCTCACTTTTCCTGAATGTCAGAACTGGGGAACGCTGCCTTTTATATGTTTGTATCCCCCACACATGGCCCTGAGACCTATACTGTAGGTACACACACACACACACACACACACACACACACGCACACGCACACGCACACACACACACACACACACACACTAGCTCCTCTGAATGGACGGAGAGCATCTACCCCGAGGCCGTGTTCATGGCACACGCACACACACACACACACACACACACACACACACACACACACACACACACACACCCAGACACACGTCTTTGGTGATAAGTATGGGAAGAGAACACCTGATCATATACTTATTCCTATGTTCCTGTTTGGCCTGTTCTTGTGCACAAAGGTCATGGTTTTGCAAACACATTGTTGTTAAATCATTTCATTGGTTAGAAGCAACACATCTCCTTTGTATTACTTTAGAAAAAGAAAATATTCTTTCCATTTTACTGTCTTTGTGTTTTTGAATTCATTATTAAGATACATTTGCACCACATTCAAGATATTAAGCTCTCTAATTTCTGCTATGTCCTTGCTTGAACAACTCACACCTTATTCATCAGCAGACACAAGATACCAGATATTGTTTCTAAAAAAATCCTTCTTGACAACTTCAGCTACACCTTTCTTATCGGATCTTGCAAAGTTGTTATTTCCTGTAAAATATGTTAACTCACAGGAAAAAATATATTAATCACAACCTTAGCGGTCTGTGAACAGGAACCAGTTTTATCTTAAGCATCTGCATCTTGCAAAACTATTTTATGCACTAATTAATATGCTGTAGCTGGAGATGGACCAGTTTACCTCATTGGTAGAGCAAGGCAAAGAACACTGGTAGCCACTTCACTCTGACACCTCTCTGATAATGTATTGATATGTTTGTGCTTGTGCATATGTTGTTGTTGTTGTTGTTGTTCTTCTTCTTCTTCTTCTTAAATTGTTTATTCAGATATTTAATGTGATTAAAATAGTAAATAATAAAAAAGAACCACACAGTAGATTATGCAAATCAGAATCCCATTGGTGATCTTTATTGATTAAATGCTTAAACACCACTGATAAAAAGGCATGTCTTTGTCTACCTCGTGTAAATCATAATTTGAGAGAGAAATAATGAAGACAACAAACAGACTTTGATTATTTCTGATGTGACTGAGTATTTGAATTGATCCATAATGTTAATCAAAACAATCCCATGATCTTCAGTTTATTAGATGTGTATTTTGTCTATATAGCTTTAATGGCAATAAGCGTTTGTTGGGATCTGAGATGAAGACACTGTCTGCCGTGGTCTTAGTCGACCTCCTCGATGGTAGGGCCAGAGGAAGAGCCGCCTCCAGCTCCACCAGAGAAACCTCCAGGCATTCCTCCAGGCATGCCACCTGGCATCCCACCTGGCATCCCACCTGGCATCCCATCCTGGTATAGCTTGGAGATGATGGGGTTGCACACCTTTTCTAGTTCCTTCTGCTGATGATCGTACTCATCCTTCTCTGCCGTCTATGTAACAGAGGGAACAAAACATTTGTTTGTCAGATATACTTTTTAGGTTTGTACATGGTTGTCTGCATGAACATTATCTGGAAGGGAAGTGATTGCTTCACAAAGTGCACGAACCACTGCTTTCACAATGCCAGCCAAAGAGGAACTTGTCCACAAGCATTATCACAAAACATAATTAATTTGATCATGGTTCAGTCAACAGTATATACCTGATTTCTGTCGAGCCAGGCAATGACTTCGTTGCACTTTTCTACGATGGTCTTTTTGTCCTCAGGGCTGATCTTGTCTTGGAGCTTCTCGTCCTCCACGGTGCTCTTCATGTTGAAGGCCAGAGACTCGAGTGAGTTCTTGGCTGTGACCTTTTCTCTCTGTATCTCGTCCTCAGCCTTGAACTGCTCAGCCTCCTGCACCATCTGCTCAATGTCCTCCTTGCTCAACCGCCCTATGGAGGAATACATTACAAAGCTATTTACCTTGCATGGAATAGTTTTTTATTCTCCATGTTCAAGCGCAATATTCCTTCAGCTTTCGTGCTTTATCAGTGTTTAATATGGTTACCTACCTTTGTCATTGGTGATGGTGATCTTGTTCTCTTTTCCAGTGCTTTTGTCCACCGCAGACACATTTAGAATGCCATTGGCATCAATGTCAAAGGTCACTTCAATCTGAGGGACTCCTCTGGGAGAAGGTGGAATACCGGTCAGCTCAAACTTGCCCAAGATGTTATTGTCCTTGGTCATGGCTCTCTCACCTTCAAAAACCTGAAACATTTAGATTCTGTCAGTGAACACGTTCAAGAGTAATGTAATAAACTGGGACAATGGATGGGGACCTGGTATTTGTTACTTTAGACCATAACTGCAATGTCTCTCTACCTGAATAAGTACACCAGGCTGATTGTCTGAATAGGTGGTAAAGGTCTGGGTTTGCTTGGTGGGGATAGTGGTGTTCCTTTTGATAAGGACAGTCATTACTCCTCCAGCAGTCTCAATTCCCAGGGAAAGGGGTGTGACATCCAGCAGGAGCAGGTCCTGTACATTCTCAGACTTATCACCAGACAAAATGGCTGCTTGCACAGCTGTTTCCAAATGACAACAGGAACAAATTAATATAAACCATGTAATCATGTTTGAATAACACATTTTATACTAAAATAGAAATATGACTGGACAATGTTTATAAATGTAAATGCTGTAGAGATACCTACATGCACCATAAGCCACAGCCTCATCCGGGTTGATGCTCTTATTGAGTTCACGTCCATTGAAAAGATCCTGCAGCAGCTTTTGAATCTTGGGTATACGAGTGGAGCCACCCACCAGGACAATGTCATGGATCTGTCCCTTGTCCATCTTGGCATCCCTCAGGGATTTTTCCACGGGCTCGAGGGTTCCACGGAACAGGTCTGCATTAAGCTCTTCAAAACGGGCTCTGGTGATGGAAGTGTAGAAATCTACCCCTTCGTAGAGGGAATCGATCTCAATGCTGGCCTGAGTGCTGCTGGACAGGGTGCGCTTGGCACGCTCGCAGGCTGTGCGCAGACGACGCACAGCTCGCTTGTTGTCGTTGATTTCTTTTTTGAACTTGCGCTTGAACTCAGCAATGAAGTGGTTAACCATGCGGTTGTCAAAGTCCTCACCACCCAAGTGAGTGTCACCGGCTGTGGACTTGACCTCAAAGATGCCATCCTCAATGGTCAGGATTGACACATCAAAAGTACCACCTCCAAGGTCAAAGATAAGGACATTACGTTCACCGCCAACCTGAAATAAATGGCAAATATTATTAAAGGTATTCCATGAAAGAGATTAAGGTCCACATTTTATTAGTTAGTTACCTTTTTGTCCAGGCCATAAGCAATGGCTGCAGCAGTGGGTTCATTGATGATGCGCAGCACATTCAGGCCAGCAATGGTCCCAGCATCTTTGGTGGCTTGACGCTGGGAGTCATTGAAGTAAGCAGGAACTGTGATAACTGCATTATTCACGGCCTGTAAAGACAGGAGAACATTAAGTTAACAAAAAGCATATGTGTGTTTAACCTGTTTTTAAGGTTTCAGGCTTGAAAATGACATGCCCAGAGCAAATGACTATATCTTCACTTCTAAAAGGGGTAAATTAATAATCTTTTTTCTCCAAGCAATGATACACCTGTGAGTTGGATGTAGAAGAGTCAGAATCAATATAGATGTTTTTATTTTAAAGGAAATTCAGATTGAACATAGTAAAAAACTATAAATGATAGTTTTCGTCCAAAAAAACCCTGTTACTTATAGTGAAAACCACCCTTGAATGATGGGATAGTAGACAAAAAGCTTTAGGAATCCAGACTAAAACATATAATAAGTACCGTGTATCAAGATTGATGCAAAACAAGTGAAATTTTACCTTTTTAGAGAGGTTTAGAAAAAACAAAACCCACCTCTGGGGTCATCTGGGTATATTTGCCATATCTCTGGAACCTGTTGAGGTCTCCATATTAATTTGAATAATTAAAACGAAAGTTAATATAATCAAATATAATCAAATAATAATCAAATATAATCAAATATATTCATGTATAACCCACAATGAAAATGCATTATATTTCATGTTGTTCTATAATCACAGTATTTACAAATACAAGGGGTTTGTTGAATTGAGTTTAAGGCCTATTATAGTTTATTACTATGGGTGTCACTGTTTAAAGAGGGGAGCCAGTTGTCTTCACTCACAGCAAGCTGTGCACAGAAGACCCCTGACTCAATGGAAAAGTACTGAAGCCCCAAAATGTGTTCAGGCCATAGCATAGGACAGTGGTTCTCAAACTTTTTCTGTCAGGCCCCCCCTTTGGAGAAAAAAAAAAGTCGGGCCCCCCCCAACACAAATAGTCAGGCTCAGTGGCGGCGCCAGAGATTTATTTTGGGGTGCTGTGGGGTAGCTTGACGTTTCATAGAGGGTGCTCAAACATTTAGGGTTTCCCATTAATGTACCGGTCGCTACAGTGGAACTTTCTACTGCAACAATCCCCACGCAAATACACAGTGTACCCGGGACTGTTACAATGAAGGCTCGNGAGGAGGGGGTGGGGGCCGATCAAAGGGGGGTGGCGGGCCGGATCCGGCCCCCGGGCCGTAGTTTGGCGACCCCTGCTCTAATGTAACCACACGTACTGTTTTAACAGTAGAACACTTTGCAAAACATAATAACATAGCAGCAAATGTCTTCTTTTTTTAACAGATCCATGCTGTATCAGGTTGGTACAACACTCTATTTTATGTTATTATGAACATGACAGCAGTGATATGTTCCTTTCATAAATCCACTTAATTTACTACATGTGTTTTGCCCACCAGATCTCAGAGGACCAATCAGAGCCCTGCTACAGACCACACAATCCACCAGGACGAAACTAACCAAAGGGAATATGCTTCCGTTCTTCAAGGTCAGCCTGAATCCTTAATACGTTTTGAATTTTTTGTGAACGTAGCATCCGCGTAGCATTTCCATTTCTCATTGGTTGTTTTTAAAAATGTAGGAGTTCATATAGAGCAGCGGTTCCCAAAGTGTGAGGCGCGCCTCCCCTGGGGGAGGCCAGAGAGCTTCAAGGGAGGCGCAGCCGCCAGAAAAAAATCAAGAGAAACAGTGAAATCTAGCTAGTTAACTTCAGCTAAATGTATGCGAGCGGCAACATATGGATAGATTTTTAGTGAAGTTACCTAAAGTGAGAGAAGAGACAGCGTCCGTCAGAAAACGGAGGAAGTATGACAATGATTATTTGAAGCTAGGATTTTCATGGACCGGTCCTGATGACACTCCACTGCCACAGTGTGTTATCTGCAACGAGGTGCTAGCTAATGACACTATGAGACCATGTAAACTCTGGCGTCATATTGAGACGAAACACCCATGTTTGGTGACCAAGCCACAGGAGTTTTTTGACCGGAAGCTCAAGGAATTGTGGTCACAGAAAAATGTCATTGACACATTTAGCACTGTGAATACAAAGGCAACCGAAGCATCATACCGAGTGGCGTTACGGATAGCTAAGGCAGGTAAACCTCACAACATTGGTGAAACGTTACTCCTCCCTGCTGCTAAAGACATTAACGTCTCAACTATTTATCTCCGAGTGCAACGTATGAGGAAGCTGCCATCCTTGACCTCAACATGTTTAAAACATAAAGATAAAGAGGTTGGAAAAAGCTATTGTTTAATGTTTTAAGGAGGTGACGCTCAGCCAATCAAAAAAGAGAAAGGTAGCGAAAACAGAGCATTTTATGACATTTTCTCTTACTGGACCTCTTTGAAATGCAATTGAATACCCCTGCATTATAGCAACAATAATAATAATAATAATAGCAATAATAATTGGGAGGGGGGGGGGCGCAGCTGTGATTATGTTCTCTGAGGGGAGGCTCACCTTCCCACACTTTGGGAACCCCTGATATAGAGGAATGTTAATATGAATTGGGTTTTGATTTTGATTTCTCTTCAGATAATGCCTGTCTCTATGAAACAATCAAAGGCCCCGAAGAACCTGCAAATGGTACAGTATAGTCAATATAAATACTGGAATATGACAATTCAAGGTTCACTTTTTTAAATATAAAATACATTTTATATTTCAGATGAATCCAGGGATGCAATATATTCTGTGCTCGAGCTCAAAAACATTTCTAAGAAGGGTGAGTGTTTGATTTCTAAGTCGTGATAACATATAATAATTAAGGTGCTTGTGTAGGCTAGCAGTGCCTAAATTAAGTGAAGTATTGTCTTTTCATGCTTTCTCCTGATCTGTCTAACAGGAGGAAAAAATGAACCGGAGGATTGTGTTTACTCACATGTGCAGATGGCGTCAGCTGCAGGTCTGATGAAATACTACTCGCTTTAAGCTTTTGATATTGTGCCTGCTAGGGTGTCATTTTAAAATGTACCACAAGGTGTCGCCAAAGTCAGCAATCTTCAAATCCTTAACATAACTTTTTCAATATTTGTTAAGTTTATTTTCTGACAATTCTATGCATTCATGAAATAATCATCAGGGCATATTACATTTCATGTATCTGTATCAATACATGTTTAACTGTTGTGAATCTAACTAACTTTAATTTGATATTGTGTCAATCGGAATGACTGCTTTTTACATATAACAAAACCAACAACACTAATTATTGTTTTACTTTCAACAAATGCCATATATGCATGGATTAAATATTCACTTTTTAGGCTTGTTTAGTCTCTTTTTGCATGTATTGTCTTTTAGAGTTTTGACGGTTAAAATGTCCCCTTTTTGTTTTTCAGATTTGAATTCAGCAGCGTCTCTCATAGTGAGTCCTGACAGTGGGCAGCACTTCACCAAAACGCCCGTGTCACTGAGCTGTGAGGGAAACTCCACTGATAAACCATCATAACATTTATGTCAAAAACTGAGTTTCCAGTTTTGGGCATTCTGGCTACGCATCACTCATTCACCAATGGGTAATGTTTAGATGGATTTTAGGAACTTCCCCTCGATTCTATTGGCTCTAACGGTTAAAAAGAGGTGTCAATCGTCAAAATCGAACGTGGGGGGCCATAGATATGGAAAATGCACCCAAATGACCCCAGAAGAGGTTTTTTTTTCTAAATCTCTCTAAAAAGGTCAAATGTCACTTGTTTTTCTACAATCTTGATACAGGGTACTTATTATATGTTGTAGGTTGGATTCCTAAAGCTTTTACTATCTCATCATTCAAGGGTGGTTTTCACTATAAGTAATGTTTGTTTTTTTACAATGTTCAATCTGAATTTACTTTAAAATAAAAAAAATTCTATATTGATTCTGACTTTTCTACATTCAACTCACAGGTTTATAATTGCTTCGAGAAAAAAGATTATTAATTTACCCCTTTTAGAAGTGAAGTTATATCTCTCACAGACTCCGCCCTCTACTGGACTCTATGGGTACTCCCCTCGATCCTATCATGCAAGCATTCATCCACTGAGACTTTCTAGACGTAGCCGGCCCCTGGGCGGTTCTACCTGAATGCGCGCGCATCGGGGGCACCAGGAAAGTTCATCCTCCTCTTTAGCGTCGCAAGAGAAGACCAAATGCAGTGACACAGTTAATAATAGAACAATGTGCTGGGCCTGAGGACCGCCGACGTGTTTCTTCGTCCCTCCGTTCTTACCTTCCCAGTTCTTTTATATGTGAACGCCAAATAAGGAGTTATTTTACATTACTGTCTTGGTCGGTGTCCAGGGCTCCGCCGATTCTCTCACGGGCCGCCTGCAGGCTCTCGCTGATAGGGCGCGACCGGCGAGGAAAGAACTTCTCCGAAGCCGGTCGCATCTCAGCGAGTAGTCGGCGGAGCGTCGAGCAGTGGGGGTCCAGCGTGCGACAGTGCCGGTGGACCTTGGACGGTTGCGTTTGGTGGTGGGTTGGGTGGCTCGGGCACCGACAGCCGCCCGAGCAGTGAGTGATGGGGCTTATAACGGGTAAAGGTGGATAGTAGTGGATAGTAGCTACTAGGTTGCGTGTAGAGAGGAGGGGGAGTGGTGAGTGGTTGGGGTAGAGAGCGAAGATCAGAATGGGAGTTGACCGGGAGGAGATGAGTGAAGTTGAAGACAGACATGTGATGGGGAGGCCTGGATAGCGGGGTTTAGGTTGTTTGTTGAGGGGGCGCGTTGGCCGTCGCGTTCTGCGAGGCGAAGACGGCCATCCAGGAGCCGCGGTGGGCCCCGCCGCGCCGCCCGTCGCGCGCGCGCGGGAGCGAACAAGTCAGTCGAGGGGGACGAGGGGCACTCGCGGCGGGCCATGACGTGGGCGAGAGGAGGGAAGCGCCTCTCTGACGTCCGCGCTCGCGCGCGTGCGTACGGCGCGGTGAGGAAGGGCGGAAGGAACTTGTTGACGCCGAGTCTGATCGTGTGCGACTGGCTGGCGGTTCGCACCGGTCCCTGTGTGGGGCGGACGCCATCGTGGGCAGGGGCCGGCGTGAAGGGTAGGGTAGGGACGCGCGGACGGGCGTCGCGCAGCCGTGCATTATGATATGGTAGTGTGTGGATGTTTTTTGGAGGTGTGGGAGAGGGTTGTCGAGAAAGTATTTGCCGAAATGGTTGAGCATCCTTCGTAGAATGGATAAGGGTAACTGCAGGTGGTCCGACAACATGGTTGATGTGGGTGAGGAGACTGTCTTGGAGGACTCGACAAGATTTGGAGTAGTACAGAATGGAAAGGTCCGAAAGAGAAGTAAGTCGCGCGGGGGACGGGAGCGCGAGAAACGCGCAGGGATTTGGAAGAGCATGAGTGAGAGATGAGTGAAAGGCTGTCGCGGTAGCAATTGCTTAGACGTTCGCTAGAGAAGTTCAACTGGGGCAGAGAAGAACGTTTTTAAGCGCTTCACAGACGGTTGCAAGCTAGAGACGAGTCGATGAGAGGGAAGGAAGCACGCGAGGCACAAGAGAGAAGCGGGAGAGCTGAGGAGGTGAGCACACAGCTATTGACTCTGAGCCGGGAGGCATCACTGCTTCGTTTCTAGTTTCTAGCAGAGACGACTCACGACTGTCCTAGCTTCCTAGTAAATATACTTACTTAGCAAAAAATGGCTAGTTTCGCGATGTGTAGCTACGTAGCGTCGTTTAAGGTGCTTTGACATCGGCTACACGTGAGAAAGTTTGCACACCGTGAGGGGCGCTTCCCTTTTCGAGACGGGGTACCCCCCAGCTGTGTCTTTCCTGGCTGAGAGATGACTCCAGTAAAACCCAAAAAAAAAAAAACCCGGAACCTTGCGCGGCGCGAGGCGGTACTACGAAAGTTGGTTTGTAACTTTACGTAGTTCGCCTCGAAAAATGTGAGGGCCGCAATTTACAAAGATTGAGGGAAACCAGCCTTTCTGACTCCGCTCGGCGCCTTCGTACGCGACTCGACGTGGGAGGAGGAGGTCCGCTGACGTTCGCGACCCACCCTTGACTCCTATAGCTAGGCTTCGCGGAGAGGCACCGTTGCCCCCGGGGTTCCTCTCAGCAGGAGCAAGAAAGAAACCGGGTCACGCCAGCTTGGATCGCGTGTGCAAGCGCTGCGGTGCCCACCGGTCCCTTGTAAGTGTGGCTGCCGGACGCATTAGTGTTGGACACAGGGCTCACCGGAGGTGAGCTCCTAAGGTTGGGTTCAGTCAGTGGCTTCGGAAAGCAAGAGTCACCGACGGTGTGCACCGGGGTTTGTGGCGGTCGACAGACAAGACTTTCACTTTGCTTCCGCTAACCACGACCTGCCCGGCCCGGGCATCTTCGGACTGCGTCCGCCGAGTGGCCGGAGCCACCGTCGCCACCCCCCTCGCCGTTCGGACGTGCGAGGCGGCGGTATCAGTATGGCCGCCATTCAGGACAGCGCGTCGTGGATACGAAAACCGGAAGGACCGCCAGGCGGCCTTTAGGGGTCTGCTGCTCAACAGCAGTAGCAGCAGGGAGAGCGGGCTGCCAACCTGGGCGGGTTCAAGCGACCTTACCGCTTGTGCTTCCCGTGAGGGGAGGAGCTCCAGGAGGTAGAAGGTGGTGCAGCTTCGAGACCCAGAGGTGGCCGCTCTGCATCGTTTGGGAGTTTGACGCCGACGGCAACTACCGCCGGCCCCGCTCCTTAATCGACCGTCCGCGACGTACGACGTTCGACCGGGTCCAACCGGCGGTCCACCAGCTAGGGTCCGTGAGCTAGTGAAGCTCACGGACCCCAGCAACGGGAGATACCTAGGGCTCAGTGCTTCCTGTCCCCGCGAGTGTTACCCACTCAGGTAAGAGAGAACACACAGATTAGTAAGAATAGGCAGGAGAAGTGAGTCAACATAGAGGGTGACGGGAACGACTTTCTCTTTCGCCTACTGCCATTCCTCCGGTTGCCAGGAAAAATACNGTCGGGATGCCAGATCTGACCCCTGAGCTGTGACAGAAGGTCCTTCCTGCCGGGGAAACACCATGGTGGGCTGCAGCAGAGACTGCGCAGCAGTGGGAAGTTCCCACTGCTGCGCAGTCTCTGCTGCAGCCCACCATGGTGTTTCCCCGGCAGGAAGGACCTTCTGTCACAGCTCAGGGGTCAGATCTGGCATCCCGACCCTCACCGCCTTCAACTATCGGCCTGGCCTCTAAGGGGCCAAACCCACTGTTGAGCGTTTTCACGGCATCCGTCAGGGAAATTATCCTGAATGCCAGAGCACCATCCACTCGAGCACAGTACGAGTGCAAATGGAAGCTCTTCTACCACTGGTGTTCGGGTAAGGCCGAGAATCCGGAGCATTGCTCTGTGGCCACCATTTTAGAGTTTCTGCAGTCCCTTCTGGATAGTGGTCGTTCTCACTCCACTTTGAAGGTCTATAAGGCTGCTATACCTGCCCGACATGTGGGAGTCGACGGCGCCACAGTGGGGCGCCATAGGTTGGTGTCCCTCTTCCTGAGAGGGGCTTTACGGCAGCTTCCCCCTAGCACCCAGAGGGCTCTGGCTTGGGACCTGCCCCTAGTGCTGGATGCCCTGTCATCTCCTCCCTTCGAGCCCATGGCCCAGGTGGGGCTTAAGTGGCTGTCCTTGAAGGCAGCATTTCTGCTTGCCATAACGTCAGGGAAACGATTTGGAGAGCTATGCCCTCTCCGTGAGCGATACATGCCTGAGGTGGAACTCCGATGGCTCGGGTGTTGCGCTCTGGCCGAACGTGGCGTTCCTGCCCAAGGTGCTTCCACTAGCCCACTCCAATCGGCCTATCCAGCTGGCGCGCTTTAACGTCCCACAGGAAAACGGCACGCCTGAGTTGCTGTGCCCTGTGCGTGCCCTAGATGCTATGGCCCGTATAGGACAGTCAGAGCAGCTCTTCATTTGCCATGGCGGCACGAGAAAGGGTTGTGCTCTCTCCAAGCAGCGGTTGTCCCACTGGGTTGTGGATACCATCTCACATGCCTATGGAGCCAGTGGCCGCCCCGCGCCATCAGGGGTGAGATTCCACTCTACAAGGGGCATCTCAACGTCTTGGGCTGCCCTGAGAGGGGTGCCCCTGGAGACCATCTGTGATAACTAGGGGTGTAACGGTTCACAGAACTCACAGTTCGGTTCGTACCTCGGTTTGGGGGTCATGGTTCGGTACGGGTTCGGTACAACAAGAAAAAGAAAAAGAAAGTCCCAAATGCATAATTCCAGGTTTGTTGTTATTTATTTTTGAAAAGTAGTGCAAGTTTCAGTTTAAAAATAAGGAACTCTGACATAGCCATATTATCTATAATGGCTGATGTCAAACAAAAAGGTTTCATCAAGCTGTAAAACTAAAAAGAATGACTTGAAAATATTACATCATAAATAATAAGAAAGTGTTTCAAGAGCGCATAGTCGTTGAAAAACATATGCCAAAAGCTTCCGTTATTTATTTTGGTCTCACGGCTTTCATGCCTATTGGCTTCTTAAAAGCAGCCGGGAGAAGCAGTTGAACTGCTGTTGTCTTTTGCTGGGCTCCGGTGATTGGCAAATCTGGGTGATGCCTTCTGATATGATTTAGCATGTTTGGCGTGTGTTACCATTAGCATACCGCACCGCTGTCGAACAACGCCGACACACCGTCCCCGTCCGTTCCACCACTCGCACTCCATCGTTATTGTAGTCCACAGGGAACCCGAAATGCTCCCACACAGCTGATTTAAAAGAAGCAGGTGGGTTCTAGCTCCTGTGTGTTATCTGAAATCGCCATACTAACTTTTCTTCTTCTTGTATTTTGTTCGTTTTGTTGTTGTGTTTCTTCTTGTTCTTCATTTGTTTTTTAAGGGCGGCTGGCAAACAGCTTTTAGGCGCAATACCGCCCCCTGGATTATAAATAGTGTAATGGATACTGCCCTGAATGACAGACTTTTTTCCCACTCGTAAAAAAAGGCGTATTCGTCGTGTGACTGCATGTGCCGAACCGTGACGTCCGAACCGTGACGTCCGAACCGTGACGGTACGGGACGAATACGGATACCGTTACACCCCTAGTCATAACTGAAGTGGCCAGTTGAAGTTAGAATGTAATTTCACAACTGAAGTGAGCCAGTTGAAGTTAGAATTTAATGTAAGAAATGTAAAACTGTGAATTGAGGTTTTATATTAGAAAAGGAACACAGCATGATATACTCTAACGAGAGAAGGTAAAAACCCTGTAAAAGTGTGGACCATTTTTTTCAAATAAAATCATCCCACCTTTTTGGATTGGGATAACTTAAAAGAAATCTGCGCTCTCCTCTCCTGCTTAAAGGTAAGATTGCACAACTGCCACACTCACACTTAGGGCCACACCTCATTACTAGGGATGGGTATCGTTTGAAATTGATCGATTCCGATTCCGTTTCTGCATATCGATTACGGTTCTTATCGATTCCCCGTTTCGATTCCAAAATTGTAAAAGAAAGAGGTCAAACGTTTAGATAACAAAAATATCTTTATTCTTTTAAGCTTTAACACTAGAACCGCCAGAGGTCGCTGTATACCTAAAACCGCCAACGGGTAAAATGTACCCGCTATTGATTTTCAAGGTACAATGTTATTTTATTAACATTCATTATGGTTATCATACAGAACAGTGAGTTTTGATCGCACAGGGATAAAACTTATACCAATAGAATCTGTGGACTCNAGATATTAGGTGGTAAATATCAGATTATGAGCGTGACACTGATTAGGTTGTCATTTGTGCCCTTTAAAATTACATTACAGTGTTCACGGAAGAGTTCACTGACCGATTATGTTCAGTGTAGTTCACTTTTAACAAAAGTATCTCTGTCATCATACTACATATGGATAATAATTATGTATTTGCTATCAACATCTGCATGGAGAGTAATCTTGCATCCATGTGACAGCTGTAAGACATTGAACTACAGATTTTAAACGTCTTGAAACATGAATTAATTGAACATGCATTAAGAAACACCCTTGCACTGGGCTCACGTCATATTTTCAAAATCGTGGAGCTCGTCACCTTCTTCCCTCCTCTGTAATGCACTGTGCAGTTCAGAGGCTTGTTGAAATCGGAGACTCGAGGGGAGAAGGTCAGGGTTGACACTGTTTCCCACTTCCATGTATTCATCTTCTTTGAGCGGCGGAGGATGTTTCCAGGGTGGCTCCAGCTGAATCGAGGTGGGATCGCTGGGCAGGAGTGAGACACGGAGCAGGAGGCGGTCACCTTCTCATTCATCACCATAGACAGAACAGGAGGCTGTGGGTCGCCTGCCGAATGGGAATATATAATGACTCATACTGTAGGACAATGATTCAAATATTATTCACCAAAAATGTAATTATGTTGCCTTAGAAATGATTCAAACTATCTACAAAACTCACGTGTGACTTCGATGGTCACTGGGTTTGTAGAGTAGGAGAAGCTTTTGTATTGCGGCATTTCAATCCTGAAGTGGAAAGGGCCAACATCGTTCTTCCCCACACTGTCCAGCAGCATGGAGCAGTTCCGTGCTGCAAGATTTCCCAAGAACTGGCTTCGTTTGTTGTACAACTTAACCAGTTTAAATTTGGGGACATTGGTTGAGACTACCTTTTTCCCTTTCATCCAGAATCCCCTCCACTTTGTCAAGGGCTTCTTTGATTTGGGCATTGGGTAATTGTAGAGGCAGGGAATAACCACACAGGAGCCCTGCAACACACTAATCTTTTCCGGCACGGTCACTTTCCATTGATTGGAGGAATGGACATCATGGATCACTGAAATCAACAGAGAACGTTAGTTTGTCATAGAGGGTAACACAAGTTATTTTATGTTAAAGTACATTGCATTTTTAGACTCACCATGTAACATCAGAAAGGGAAACAACAATTTGAGCTCCATCACTGGTGAGAAAGACAAGTTTAAAGTGTAAGAAAGCAAAAAGGCAATGAACATAATACTAAAGAGTATCTCTGTTGCTCTCTCACCTCTGATCCTTCGATGGCTGCTGAATTCTCTTGCAGTACCTCTGAGATAGTTGTGCCTTGTCTTTGAATGTCCTACTTATAATCGAGCTTAACCCTTTAAAATTGCAAGTGTAACCAAATGTTTTACAAAGCGGTGAGCATGATGTGAGTTGGTGTTTAAACAGCTACAGCAGAAGCCCAGGAGATGGCTGTTGTTGCAATATGTGATAACTGTGTTCTTGTTTGTCCTCTGTTTAACATTTTACTTGTTACTTTTTTTCAACAAAAAAGGAATACAGCAGAATACAGCTAACCTTTTTTAGCATAAGAACATTCCACAGAACACGTGACAAGTTTCATTTTGTTGTCTTACTAGAGACAAAAAAGAAAAGATGAGTCACTAAAGGACTGCTGACATGGCTGTGGAACAAAAGACACGTTATGTTATTGCAAATAAATAATGAAGGCCTTTGACGTGCAACCCAGTGTTCAAACTTTTGAGGAAATTATAGATGAGTTTCCTTTATATGAGATCCATTCATTACCTTTCCACATGTACATTTAACTTTTATCACCTTGTGTTTTTTAAGGGAAATACCACAGATATCCACATTTCCCTTTGAGGAACTCGGAATTGGGGACATTTCCTTGATTTCATAGCTTTGCTCTGCTGTCATGTTTGGGCGTAGAAGAGTCATGTGATAGTCGATCAAATGAAGTCAGACTAACAAATAAGAAATGGCATTTTATGCATTTTAGCACAATTTACAAATGCTTTTTTAGTTGCAACTCAAATAAGTGACGGAAATAAATATATTTTATGAATAAAATCAACCTATGTAGAAGGTAACATTCAGGGATGCAAACATTAAAACATGGGACTGTAATAGCAGTATTATGTTGAGTAACTTATTTTTGATAAAGTAAGGAATAACAGTGGTTTACTTTGGGCTGTAACATAATGTAAGATAAATTGCACCATTAAACTTTATGAAAACTAACTCCATACTTGGAAATAGTCTGAGAGACCAACCCTTGGAGGACAATAGAGTCTCAGAAAAGATGATAAGCCAGAGCAAAGTGTGCGGGACACTGATACAACCAAGGTCGAGAAAAGTTTATTTCTAGCAAAACCATATCAGAATGAAACTATTGGTCACAAAAACAGAAACAATAGCAGCTTCACTTAAATCCACTTTATTGACGACAGGACGTTATGCACAGTAGTTGGCTGCTGTTGTTCAGTAATTCAATAGAGTAAAAAGTAGACAATGTTAGTCATGGAGAGGAAACTATATACACTTTTAATATTTTGTTCGATGGTACAGACTATAACTCGATCCTTACATATAATAACTTGATCCCCTAATAGGAGACTGAACCAGAAAAAAAAACAGAAGTTTCAGCTGCAGCACAGATAATACAGGACGTGAATTGCCAAACACATTGAGAAATATTTGAAAAAAACCACAATCATTTTAACCCCACCTTTTCGAGTAAAAACGGAAGTTGTAAACAGAATATTACAAGACATTACTCAGAAAACAGAATTTAAGTCATGGGATGTTGCCCAAACTGATTTCCTGTATCACTCACTAGAATTTCTTTTTCTGAATGTTCAATTCTAATTATGCTAAACAGCAAAATATCTATCTGCTAAACCTGTTAAAGCCATAGAATGATCATGTTTAAGGCAAATAAGCAATGGTTAAGGTAAGACCTATAAACAGTTAGTTAAGATTAGAAAAAGGTCAGTGCAATTAAAAGGTGAACAACAATTGCAGGCTGCACTGGACACATCTATAAATAATGTGTAATTTACACAAGTAATAATGAGTTTAACAATTAAGTTAAACTTAAGAATCAAAGCACAATTAAAGATATGGCTCTGAGCAATATTAAACTGTACATTGTCAATGGTTACATATTCAGTGTAATAAATAAAAGCCAAATAAACAATTTTAAGGACGGTAAAGTTAAATGGAATATATAAATGGCTGCAGTTATATGAAACCCAAACTAGCCTTAAACCCTGGGAAGTTGACCCACAAAATAAGGTCCCCCATCTCCCATAGCACCAAGACATGTCGCTCTGTAGATTTGTAATTCTTAGTAGTTTATTTTTTGTATCTCTCTGTGGTTGTTTTTATTCTCTTCGTGATCATTTTATGTCTCCCTATAGAAACCTATTGAGGGCCATCAGATTTAATTTCGGGAGGGTTCACTTGCGTTGCAGATATATTCTGCTGCTTTAACCAGTAAACGATATAACCCTGGTCTTGTAAAAGTACCTGCCAACAGCCACAATGTTCTCTAAAATAAATATTAAGAAACAAGCAAGTTCAGGTTTTACAAACCATGACCACGTGAGATGCAATTTATCTTCTATTGTGAATAATCCACATTTCCATATATATTTTCTGTGTGATTCATTCCTTGACCCATCTGACCTGGAGGGGCCTGCAAAAACAAAACTTAGGTTACATGTATTTTTTTGCCTTAGTTACGATGTTGCTATATTACAACCATTTACTGTAAATGTAAAGTATAGTAATATAGTACCTCAAAGTTGTTGTAGACAGGTTCATCAATGACTTTCAGTTCAGAAGTGTTCTCGTTCTCTTGAGTCTTGCTTGATGCATTTCTGAAAAGACAAACAGACATGTTTGGATTATTTTTTTATTATTATTTGTTATTTTATCTGCAACTTGCGAACAACTTGTGGAATAATAATTTTCACTAGACTAAAACCTCTTCGTGAGTCTAGTCTTAATTATTTACAGACGATGAAGTGGTGTATCCTCTTGTGAATCTCGCAAGAATAACTCAGAAACGGAGAACACTGTGACGAAGCCTAAAGGCTGTGTGGTTTAAATATATTCATGTGAGTTTTTCTTTTTATTGTATTATAACTATTTATAGATTCATGTGACATCTCTGCAGCATTTTTTCATAGCTTAGTTTGTCTTGATAAGAAGGATATATATTTCTACAGTACAGGGTAAAGGTAGAATATTATTTTACAGAAGTGGACTATAGGCAACCAAACACTTGAAAGAAGGATTTAGAGTAATTTTACAATTGAACAACAATTCAATAATACTTTCCATTTGTATAATGCCTTAATATGATAAACTTAGACAAAATAGAGCCTATCTTTTAAATAAAGCTTAAATGCTAGAGGCTACTTTATTTTCCCCATATATTATACATTTCCAAACAAACAGCCGAGGATGGGTCAATAAATAGCAACAATTTCATTCACAATAAATATCATGAAACAAACCTTTTAGCTTGGTTTGATCGGCTAACATTGGCGTAATATCCAGATTCTTCCCTGGTCAAAGTTTGTGACCTGCCAAGTATGACAATTAGATATCAGTCTTCCATTTTAGCAGAAATGTGAGCTTATATAAAACAAACACATTTAAAAAAAATAACACCTCCAGACATTTTTACTTTACTTCACTAATGCATCAAGAAAGACAAACGCAAGGACCAGTCATGACACAAAACGTTACCTTTTGTTTTTCAAGAAAAAGAAAATTCCAGCCACACAAATAATGATCAGAAGTGCAGCAACAGGTACAAAGATGGCTGTATACTCTATTGAAGAAGGTCCCTGGATTGTAGCCATTGTGGAGGATACTGCAATATCTGTGGGGAAAAAAATTGAAAGAGAAATGTAATTACAATTTTACTTTTAAATGTTATAATGAAACTGTCCTTACAAGAAAACTGTAAACGTACTTGTAGTATCTTCAAAGGTTGGTAATGGTTGTATAATATCGGAAAAACAAAGTAGTTTCATTAAAATTACATTTTACCCTACTTTTTAAGAGAAATAAACAACAACAGCAAATTAAGGAATACTCAGAAACACATTATATACATTTAAATTATGTGCTTAAAGGTTATACCTGACGTATGAATGGCTGGGATCACATCACCTGTGAAAAAAGTTCTGGTTTATTTCTTCTTTTTAATTTGTATATATGTACTTTAATGAAATGTACTCAAATTATTACCAGACACAGATATGGAGACGTTATTTTTTCTGTAACTGTACATCCATTCCTTTCCCATAGCTCTCATATAGATGTTTAGTTTTTCATCCGTGAAGTTAAAGATCCAGAGGGAGCAGCTTTTTTGGGTTACATTTCCAAAGAGCTTGGTCTTTTCTCTGTACTTCTCATTCACAAGTGCTTTATTCGGGTGAAAAACGAATGCATCTGGGTCTTTGTCCAACGAAAAGTTACTTCTCTCAAATGTTTTCCAGTATACTTTAACATTTTCCGAAGATAGATTATGCGGATAGGTAAAGCTACAATCTATGGTCACGTTTGAGCCCAGTGTTGCTTGAATGTTTCTGGTGACATTAACATTCCAATTTTGATCTGTGTGACCTGTGTTAAAGAAGAAACGAGAATTATTATTTACATTTAAGTGCATACTTCGTTAGAGGACATTCAAGACAAGCACAAATATATCACACACCTTCTGAGGTCAGCATCAGTATGAGGCTAAGATGAATCAGGCTCGGCAGCTTCATCTGACCAAAGAAAGACACTCAGAGGTTAACCAACATAATCAGTGCCCTGGGTTCTATCTCATCTGAAAGCCTACATGTGACACAATTGTGAAGTTAAACTGCCTATATTTTGTAGTAAGCAAATACTCACTGTGAGAGGGAGTCCGAAGAGAATGCAGGGCTTTTTGTGCTTTGGCATATGACATTATATCTAAACATTGGTGTGAAATAAGGGGGTTGTGTTTCCTGTTTCAGTGTGAATTGAAGAAAAAAGGAAGTTCGCTCAAAAAAGTGAACACTGATCACGTTCTGACTCTATTTTTGAAAAACATAAACATGCAGTGTAAACCTCACGTCAGCACTCACTTCTGATGACGGTCAAACTTTTATTGAAACATAAATGAACAAAAACTCAACACTAAAAAGACAGGTAATAAGAATACACAGGGTAAAATTACAGTGATCAACAACACTTTCCATGTGTAAAATGTCCTGATAAGATAGACTTCGAGAAATATGAAAATATATTTTAAATCTGTTCAGACAGTGTTGCCAGTGTGTGTCTTTCGGGGTTGAGACAGTAAACTGATTTTGAATCTGTTGTTATTATGGGTTATGGGGTATCATTTGGTAGTTGCAAAAGAAAAAGTTACCAATTAAGAAAGGTTACCTATTACCATCGATTTAGCTCAGAATCACACATGACACAATAATTTGCCTCAATGGTTATTGTTTCTGTACAATTACACATTACACCACATTAGACCTTCAACTCAAGAAGTCCATGAGATGTTTGGGCACTAAATACAAACATCAACAACTAACTGTTAAGGAAATGAGAGGGCAAAGAAGAGTGGCTCAACGTGGTGGAAAATAGATCAAACTACAACTTTGAAGCCAGATGTAACAGAATGCATGCTTAATTAAAGCTTTAGTTGTTTTAGGAACAACTGTGTGGTTTAATAGTAACGTCACTTCACTTTTGGTTTATTATAGACTTAATGTTGGAGCTGAGGTTGAACTTCTGAAATTCAAGAAAATAAATTATATCCTTGACAAAATGTTTGCCATAGCCTATGCATCAACACAGCAATTTTTATAAAATAATACAAATCAAATACTCAAATAGTAAAAAATCATATATTTCGGCTAATATTTTAAGATATTGAGACAGCTTTTGGTGCTTGCCTCTGTTAAAGGAAACCACTAGATGGGGTGAGACTCGCTCGGAAAAGTGAACTTTGACACTCGACTCCACCTGGAATGTGGGCCAAACTCGGACCTCAAGGTGCAGTCATATGACTCCCGGATGGAAGCGAGAGTGGGAGACCCTACAGAACTAGAAATGGTTGCTGAAACTCCTTCAACAGGTTTTGTGATCCTGAACGTGTCCTGCTGTCTGACGTCAGTCCTTTAGCTCCAGAGGAGGTTCGTGAAGAGGCGCTTTGTTTAAGTCGCAGTAGTCTGCAGGAGGATGAAAGTTTGTTGTCTGTTGACATACTCTTCTTCACCTGTGCGTGGTTTGACCGTGACTACCCCAAGCACACATGGAAGATCTGAATGACGGAAGTCCAGAGCACACAGCCGCAGAGGAGACACGCTCCCCGGACATTCCCCGGTCAGATGTCCGCTCCGAGAGGAGGGTAGCAGCGGTCAGCTCCACTGCTCTGCCCGCCGCACGACTCACCTTACCCGGGGTCATGGACGCAGAGGGGAGGGTCGATGAGTCAAGACTGAGGATGTATATTTTCAAAAACGGTATATCTATCTATCTATCTATCTATCTATCTATCTATCTATCTATCTATCTGTCTGTCTGTCTGTCTGTCTGTCTATCTAATCTATCTATCTATCTATCTATCCATCTATCTATCTAAAACATCTAAAACATCTAAAACATCTAAAACATCTAAACATGTGCTTGCACGTTTAAGTGATCTTCCTAAATTGCCTTTATATAGCATTTTTATATCTTGACTTTACATATCATTATAACAAACTTTACCATGTTCTACATGCAACACACGTTCATGAGGCTTGGTTTGAAGTAGAAACGAATATAGCCTACCTATAAAAATAAGCTAAGTTGAAATCTTAAATGATCCCATAATGCCCATTTAGAAATATAAACTCTCTGCTAATCCAGTGAAATTCATGTTTGAAAGAACATTTGTACGTTTCTGTATTAACAAAGTGTAATATGATGGTGCTTGGCATGTGGTTTTATAATAAGATAAAAATGAATATGTTTTTACACACTGAACACCGTCTTGATGAGGCCTAATATTATTCTGAAAAGGCCTTTGTGTTTGGGTTAGGGTCAGTGATTTGCTGCTGCACTTGGTTATTAAAAAGGGATTTTTATTATTATGTGTCCAGATGCATCAATGAATGCAGATGCAGACAAGAAGAAAGTCAAGTGATGCTTTGCCTCAAGGCATTAGATGAGCCACAATCGAATCATTCTCTAAAATACAACATCGCATTGTGCCTCTGACCCCCTCGAGCAAAGAACCCCAGCGTGACTTCTGTAAAAACAACAGATACCATTTAGGCAGTTGGTAAGATTTCTTAGCTAGCTTCTAAATAAAATCACATGAGATTCACCAGACAAAAGCAATCAGTGACATGTGTGACACTAAAAAATGATATTACTTCCGGATGAGCATTTCTGAAGTGGCTCCAGTGCATACATATGTGCCCTATCCTAACACAGCCCTCAGACTGCCACTGAACTGGACCAGGCAAAGCACAACATCTACACAGAGGAGTTGCTGCTTGATTACAACTTCGTTCTGAATCTATCATCCATGAGCAGGAATGTGAAAACTCACCCTGCTTTTGTCTTGCCTTTTGACCTTTCTGCACATTCCACCCCAGAGACCAAAGATTAAATAACCTGCAGAGCGAAACATTATATAAGACATCTCAAATCCTAATGAAACTAGGCTAAAGTTCACCAAATGTTCCTAAAGATTCCCTCTTTTCTCAGCTTCAAAGTTCTAATCCTTGCATGTGATTGGTTCAAGGTATTTGTTTTGGTCTGGTGGAGATAAATTTGTCTGGATGATAATAGGTAATCTGGGTTTAAAGACACTGCATAGTCAGTTATATTGAGGACTGTAGTAAATCATTTAAAGTTTTTCAATCCCTGTCCAGGTGGCGTGTGTCCCTCTGAGCGGGGCCTTGTGTGGCGTTTCCTGTTTGGGATGTACCCATGCAGCTCGACAGCTTTGGAGCGTTCTCTGCTGCAGGAGCAGATGGTGGTACGTTATCAGGTCATGAAGAGAAAGTGGCAGCAGTTCCTTCCAAAGGCCGTACGGATGCACCTCAACGGCACTGATGGTAAAACCCAAACATGCAACAACAAAGTAAAAGAAAGACTCCTAATTGTGTCAACCTTTCAGTCTTTTTTTAAACTTCTATGAACACATTATCCTGTCTTTATTCCAGCCGAGTTGGTGGCAGCAGTCAGGCACTTTGACCAGAGGCAGGCTCAGGCCCAGCAGCAGACCCAGGACCAGTCAGAGGGGGTCAGGGACAGGCTAGCTTTCTTGGAGCTTCAGGCACAGGTTAGAGGAGTCATTTATATCATTGTATTATTCTGTCTATTTAATCTATTCTACTTTATATTTCTTTATCAACATGTTGGCTTTGGGTCTGACTTCTTGATTTCTGTAGGTCGAATAAATATAGGTTCTTTGCTTTAAGTTGGTGTAAGAGATGTGTGTTTAAAGGGGGGCAGGAGGAGGAGGGGGAGTATATTTACAGTAGTTACGCAACAGGATCTAATTATTTTAAACTAGTTTAGCATTTATTTACATATGGTATTGTTGGCTCTCTTTGTTCTTGATGTATTGTTAAGCCCTTTTGTCTTAGGAGTGTTTGCACTTATGAACAGCTGATATACATTTGAGCATTGAGATACTTCAAACGCAGCTTCAACAGAATGACCCTAGTTGACAGCCCTTAACTTATGATTCCTATTGAAAATGCAAAAGCAATATTAAGTGCATTTAAATGTATGATCTCGACTAAAGCCGTTCACACAGACTATATAAAGTGGTCTAATCTACGTGTCCTTCCTGTTACCAGATATTGTTTGAGCGTGTCACGTTTGACCAAGAGGAGCTGCGAGAAGCCACAAGGATTATTGACAAAGATGTGCCGAGAACAAACAGAGACCTGAGCTATTACCAGTGAGTGATTGGTGACTATTGTTGTCTTTTTGATATACTTAAGACACGTCCACAAATCTGATTGCCACAGGACAGTCTGGATCAAAAGACTGCGCTAAATCATCTTAAATTACGAATATTATTTTAAGGCTTTAATACTAGCTAACTCGCCTCATCAACTTATTAACACATGTCTCTTATTTATTTTACATTTACAACCAGCTTTCTATACGCTATCAGCATTTTGTACCAGTGAACAGGAATAATTTTGTCTTTAATTCAAATATGAAGTCTTGTGAGCTGTGAAGTGCTCTGACTTTAAATAAAAACTGGACAAAATAAATGAACCAAACTTAATGTGGGAGATACAAAGACAGTCTGTTGCTGCTCAGGCTTCTGCGATATACAAAGATAACATTCATTTGAAAACAATATATAAAAAAAAGGGAAACATGCAGAGCTTCATTTAAATTTCAAATACATGAATAAAGCAATATTGTATTAAATGGAACTTTTAAGTAAAGTATATTAAAAAATAAATAATTTTAAGTAAACAAGTGAACATTTTGTTCATTGTTACTGCCATATACATATAAGGGAGCAACTATGATCATAACTTAAATGTCTGTAAATTACAAACTTAAAACTATATAGAGAAATATTGTAAAACGTCCTGCTTTGTATAGTGCACATCCAATTCTGCACTGTTCCACTCAGTCTGCTCACTTGTGTCTGCAGGGAGGAAGGTTTGGGGAATCTGTTGGTGTTGAGAGATATCCTCATCACATATGCTGCGTTTCATCCAGGTAAACACTGAAAATGAGCTCACCTCAGGTTTTATTAACACAAAAAAATAAAACATACATTACAGAGGGTGTTTGTTGATTATTTAAAACTTTAACACTCGATTGTTGATCCAGAGGTCAGTTATGCACAAGGAATGAATGACCTGTGCAGCCGGTTCCTGGAGGTTCTCGACTCTGAGGTGGACACTTTCTGGAGTTTCTCCTGCTACATGGAGAAGTTCTCCAAGGACTTCAGGGCGGATGGTCTGCACAGGAAAATAGGTGTGATTACCATAATGAAATACAAATGTATGTTTATTAAATGCTAGATGTTGTGAATTAGATTTTGTTCCTTAAAGCTATCACAGAAAATGTTTAGAACCTCTAGTGGTAAAGCAATATATTGGAAACAATAATTCCAGTACATTCAATCAACTGTCATACTTTATCTTTATATTATATTTAATATTTAAGTGTTGGGATTTGTTTCTCGTGTACTGTTTTGGATAACTTCAGAAATAAATACAGATTTCTAAAAAGCCTTTATTAATGCATTCAGACCACGCACATCCTGGAACTTGACTTTCATGTTATCTTAACTGCTCATCTGCATAGTTACTGCATTTTTGGTGATTCTAATGTTATCGTAGTGACAAAATCTGTCAACAAATACACAATCACAAGGTGTACAAGCATTGCTGTTGCCAAATCTATTGCTATTAACAATGTTCTAATACAGATCTAATACAGAAAGTTCAGTCGATAAATGAATTCAAAGTCTACTGTGTAAAGATGTGAACTATTTGTGTTTAATGTATTTTAGAGTTGGAAGCAGCACTGTTGAAGGAACTGGATCCTTCACTTTATGCTCATTTGGTCTCAGACAGCATGGAGAGCTTCACCTTCTGCCACAGGTAGATTTTAATTCATCCTTGGTAATTTAATCTTTATTTCTGGATTTGGTTTATATTCAATATATTTTTGTATGCAAATGTTGTGTGTTTTTCAAGGTGGCTGCTGCTTGGTTTCCAGAGGGAGTTTGAACATAGTGACGCATTACGTTTATTTGAGATCCTGAGTTGTGACCACCTGGAGCTTATCTCCCAGCAAGTAGACCGAGCCCGTTATCAGGAAAGGCTGGCACGAAACTGCAGCACAGGTGAATCAAAGAACTCAAGTTGGCAGAATTAAAAGGAGATTAATGGGGAGGAATAGTTCCCTCTGTTAAATGTCTGACTTTAATGCAGTGATATGTCTTTACAGAGGACCATTCAGAGTCGCAGCTGCAGGCCATCAACACTGACTTCACATTTGAGCTCTTCATCTGTGCAGCCATACTGTTGGAGAACAGAGAGTCTCTGCTGCGCTGCCGCGATGATGTGCAGCTTATCCAGTTTACTAGCAGGTTTGTCTGAATGCTATAAAAAAATGTTTTTGTTGATGTGAATGTTCTGGTTAAACCTTTGCTTTTTCGTGCAGTCTTCAGGGAACACTGGACCTGAACAGCACGCTGAAGAAAGCAGAGCGCCATTTGTACAACTACTGCAAGCGCTGTGCGTGGGACTATATGAATGAGTGCTGCAGAGCAGACGTCAGCACAGAAGAAGACTTTCTTTATCAACTCCGTAGTTTACTTGTATTAAGGTGATAGCTACTATTTAAATACATTAAGAAACTGTAATTTAGTACAAGGGGCATGCAATCCTTATTTCAAGTGTTGATGACAAATATGCTTCCTTTTTTTTTTTCTGAGGGAAACACACTAATGGCTGCTTACCTTAAGTTACTGCTGTTTATTATAAATGTACAGTATTTATTTTATGTCAGTTGACCAACTGTAAGTTATTTAGTTGCTATCCTGAACTGCAATTAAACATGAAATGTCAAGCTCAATATCTTAGTATAGGACATAGGAATCCACACTTTAAAGGATTTATTTTCCTGGGTTATGCAATATTCAACTTCTAGAAGAAAAACAACTACTCTGCAGGCGTGTGTGAATACTAAGATCTGGTGTGTCGCAACAGGTGGTATCTGCAATGAACTGCAGTTATACGAATGCCAGATGGCCCATGTGTCAAAGAGGCCTATAACAGGAATAGACCCAGAGAGTCCTGCAGAAAGGGGAAGGAATACTTTCTGCACTACTGTGTCTTAAATATTAAATGAAAAACGATACCTCAATTAAACTACTGAAGATTGTTTACTATGTGGTGTTTGCAATATCCATGTTGAGTTTTTATATAGGCTGTGTTAAGGTAAATAAGCCTTGACTCTGAACACTTTTTTTTGTTGATGCACAGGTAATAAATCTTGGATAAAAAAGTAGGATGGAGAATTTTAAATATAGGAAGCAAAAGCTGATTTGATGCCTTTTATGATCAAACATCTGCTTAAATGGATTGACTGCATGATATTGTTAGACTAACCAAAGTTAAAAAGTATTTTGAAAATGTAACATTGTGTAGTCTTCCATGTCCCAGCCGTGTTTCCATTAGAGCATGTTAACAGTATTACCCATGTTCAGGAACTACTTTTTGCTAAAAATCGGATGCCAAATCAAAGCCCAATCTTACATTTTGAATGTCACCTTCTCTCTATTTTCCATAACTAGCAGTTGGCTACAGAGGGGACAACAGCACGCTTTATTTAAATTAAATTTAGTCAATAAGCAGACACATGGGCCTATATGCTTTCCTTGGTGGTCACCTGACACCCTGATGGGCTCTTGCTTTATATACACTGGAAAGCAGAGACACTCGTCCTCTTATTCGCCTGCCACGAGAGGGAAAGGAGCCGGTGCTGGAGAGGAGTGTTCTGTGCTGGTCAAAAACTAAGCGCCGCTCTAACTTAGTAAACTGTCAAGTTTTGAACGTCCGACAACAAGGTAACCCCTTCTATATAAAGCATTGTACTCAGCCTGGCATCATAGTCTGTTTTGCTTGCTGCTTAAAAGCCTTAGTGCGAAATCTAAGAAGTAATCCCCAATCAGAGTGAGGCCTGCAGGGTTTTTGTCAGACAATAGCATGGCAAGCTGCAGTAGAAATCCTACGAAAAAACACAGTTCAGTGACTGTGTGACCAGTTAAAACAAATCCCTTGTGGAAGCATTGGGGCATAGTAAACTATGTAATTCAACTAGTAGTTTAACTGCATTTTGCATTGGCCTGCTGTTAGTTCATCTGAATTCATATTTGCACGGTAATATACATTTTCTGCCATTATTTGTAGTATTTAACTACTTAAAACTGCAAACAATGTTCAGCCTTAAAAGGAAATATTTAATACTGTAACCCGAAACCTATGATCCTCTTCTCACAAGTTAAAGGATATGTACTTTATCAAGTGGTGTAGGAAGGTTATTTATCACATGTTTAATTTTATCCTTTTTATTTTACAAGTAGCTTGAACTACTTTGTCTTATAGTTAACCAAAATATTGGTATTTTCCCTAGGTTGGGTGCTGTCAAGGTAGCTTCCCCAACACTGCCCTTTCAATTATTGTGAACATTCTTTTCTATGACATAACATATAATTCAAGTCTATTCAATCAATTCAATGTGATTATATCTCTTCAGGATTGCCTCAACCAGAGGAAACTGAATAGCATACCGTTACAGAAACAGCCTCCATATGTATATCACTGACTCACAGGCCGTTGTGTTGTTCCAACATATCTTTGTGGAACTGTACTGGCAAGTTCCACGTGTGGGCTTGGGTAAGGCTGTGAAGCAATAGCGCTGTGTCAGCGTGCTGCTCTGTGTTACGCAAGTGGATAACAAGTGATAATTCAATATTCGCTTCCAGTGTAAGCACTTCTTGGACATTATAGAGCTTCTACTTTGACCTATTTAGCAAACATAGCATACAATGAAAATAATCACAAAAAAGGTTTAACTTTAATCAAGGCAGTTTTTGCTCTTTAATTAGTTAGAATGTTTGTGTTAAATATGTGTTATGTGGTTTATTTGCTGTACTAAGGGTAATTTTCTGCCTCTGGTGGTTGTAACACAGCTCAACCCCAAGAAGTGTGAACAAACAGGAAGCTTTTCTTTTGCTCTTCATTAGGCAAATATGTTGTTACTGCGCCTCAAGACTGTACTTCTCTGATTGTATTATGTTGTATATATAATTTGTTAAGGAAACCTGGCAAATCTTGTATATTAGGCACTGATTAATGACCTGTTCACGAGTGACCTTTCATTCATTGCCATGCACTGATGCCAATTATAGTTACTGTAAGCTATTTGGAGCCAGCTGTCGGAATATATATATATATATCACACTGATCACTATCCCAGGATCAGTACATCACATTTCACCAGCCTAACTGTGGCTCAGGGAGGAGTGGAGAGGGAAGGGGTTTGGAGAGGGAATTAAAGGGTAGTGTTACATGGTCCAGTCATTGGGTCTCCAGTGTCAGAAGATGGTTTAGGCCACTACGTACAAAATGGGTGCCACATCCCCGCTAGCTTAGCCTCACGTGGCCTGCATCTGGACTTATGTAACAGGGACAGAAACACATTTGCACACACCTAGAGTAGTTACATGTGCGTGTACATAGTGTGTTTAAAATACTACAAAGAAATATCTTGATTTACCAAACAATATCAACCATAATTAGTTAATGAAATATAAACCTGTATTCAGTGAATTAATGCCATACAATTTAACTTACCATAAAGGAAAAAGATCTACAACACATTTATTGTATCTATTTTCTTTTAATGAAGATGTCTAAAGGACCAGCAGTTGGCATTGATCTGGGCACCACATATTCCTGTGTGGGCATCTTCCAGCATGGCAAAGTGGAGATCATTGCTAATGACCAAGGAAACAGGACCACACCCAGCTATGTGGCCTTCACAGACACTGAGAGACTGATTGGAGATGCCGCGAAGAACCAGGTGGCCATGAACCCAACCAACACTGTATTTGGTAAGGACAGCAACACCAACAAAGCAATAGCTTCAGAATCAGTGATGCTCAATGAATATGACTTACAGAGATGTATTTCACTTTAATGTCCTTTAGATGCTAAGCGCCTGATCGGTCGTAAGTTTGACGATCCTGTAGTGCAGTCAGATATGAAGTACTGGCCCTTCAAGGTTGTGAATGACGCAACCAAGCCCAAGATGGAGGTTGAATACAAGGGGGAGATCAAGAGCTTCTTCCCCGAGGAGGTTTCCTCGATGGTTCTCACCAAGATGAAGGAGATTTCTGAGGCTTATCTCGGCAAGGTAAATGACAATAAGTGTATTACCCTCTTCTCAAATTGACCGATTCTCCAGTGTATGGAGATAAAAGGTGACATTCTTCAACCGTCAGGAAACATTTTTAATAATAGCATTTGTTCCCATAACCTCAGAATCAAAGCAATTCCCTCTGAATCACAAGACATTGTGAGAAAAAGTATTTTTAAGTGTCTTAAACCACAGACAGAATTGTAAAAAGTACACTAGTTTAACCAGTTAAACCCCACTGCCCCGCGTGCAGGGGCAAAACGCAACATCTTGCAAGAAACAGCGTCTGAGGGCTTCTTAATATTCAACAAACTATGAATGTGTCAAGCCCACTTAACGGGAAGAAACTCAGCTATCAGACAATATTAACCGTTTTTAGCTAAACGAAACAAAAGGGTAATAACAAAGGTTCTGAATTAGCGATAAACGCTCTAAAGTGAGGCTCCACTACACTAAAAAATAAAAAGACAAGGCACAATGTAATGCCTGTTAATAGCTTGCCACAGGCATAGCTCAGTTGAAATAAAGCACAGCTATTGTGCAATACATTTGTATTGCATTTATATTTTTTATTTGTAAAAATGTCAGTTAACACTAGAACCGCCAACGGGTACATTTTACCCGCAGCTGTTTTTTGATTGTATGTAACTTTTTTTCAATAACATATTGAAGTCTCCCAGTCCGTGACTTTTCCTGAAAGTGTGTTATATAGCACACTCTGTTGTTAACAATTGTTAATAGGAAGTCAGATTGAAAAAATCGCCAAAAAAACTGCCGTTTATACCCATATCCGCCACTGGGTGTGAGCCCGAGTACTCCCGGTCTTCGGTGTGGAGTTGTTTGGGGAGTTAGCGATATACATATTATAGATAGAGAGAGAGAGATAGATAGATAAATAGATAGATATAGAGAGAGAGAGAGAGAGAGAGAGAGAGAGAGAGAGAGAGAGAGAGAGATAGATATATATATTGATAGATAGTGTAACATCTTGGAGAATACAAGATCTTGGATGACTGAGCTCACGTTGAGGATGTAATGCATGTGTGTAGGTTACGTGCCAGTTGAATAAAGATGGACTCTCGGAATGAGAGAAGTAGTCCACGTCGTCTGTTTATGTAGACAATTATATGTCCATAGAACAGAACATTACAGATGGATCGATAGATAGTTATAGATAGAGAGAGAGATAGAGAGATTTGTACCTAAAAAAAACACAAGTCTAACACCAAGCGTTTAAATAAGCACTCGTAGCAATATTTTATAACTACGTCATATGAAAAGCTGAGAGTCCACAGAATCTATTGGTATAAGTTTCATCCCTGTGCGATCAAAATTCACTGTTCTGTATGATAAATAAAGAACATTGTACCTTGCAAATCAATAGCGGGTAAATGTTACTCGTTGGCGGTTTTAGGTATACAGCGACCTCTGGCGGTTATAGTGTTAACAAAATACTTCACATTCATCTAGTTTGTGACAGTGGTTGTAGCATTTTTGAGACTNATTTAAGAAAGCCTGCCATGTAAATGGATCAGTATTTAAACACATGCAGCACTGCGCACATGACCATAAAGCCTTTGAATCTTTTAACACAATCTGTTAGGCTGCATGTGTTTAAATACTGATCCATTTACATGGCAGGCTTTCTTAAATGTATTAAGTCAGTTTGTGTGGCAGTACAATTATTCTGTTCCAGATGTGACTATTAAACTGATTTGTAAGTGCCTATATGTTCAGTGCATCTGTGTAGAAGTGCAACATTTTAGCTGTTCTCCACAGTATGTGCTTTTCAACCGGAGGTCTGCAATTTAAAACGTTGAGATTCTCTCTGCTAAAGCAGTCATGCCTTCCTAAATGTAGATTCATATAAAATGCTACTTTTGCAGAATGTATTATCAAACATATTTGCAAGTGAAAAATTACAATAGTTTATTGGTTAATTTTTACAACACGTTTTATTGAAAATCTTACGAGCAGTCAGGGGGAAGCTATTTTTTAGATATGAACATACAGTATATATACTATATATAAAAAAACAGGCATATGTGAATTACAGGAGACAAAAATAGAACACATATTTCAATACAAAAAAGTTAGGATATCAATACTTTTGATTTAACTTGTTGATCCACATCAGTTGGACATCAGAGAGAGACTGCAGCTGCTCCTCCACTTAATCCAACGCTGTTACATATTTGCATATATTGCGTCATCCAAGTCGTCCTATATGGGAAAAAGATTAGCGCTCTCTTCTCTCATGCATTGAAATAATGAATGAGTGAATTTTCTTTTACATACCTCCATGTTGCCATATACATGGTCATTGTCATAAGCGTTAGAGCAATTAACATCATCATAGCACCTCTCTTTTCTGAAGACAGAATGCAGAAAACACATTTACCACATAAACTCCCACAAGGCCACTTTATGTAACTTTTCGTTTTTACTGGGGTGAATGACCTTTTTGTTGCAGCATACACAGGGTGCGCCGCCGCCACATCATCGTCTGCCTTCACAGAGCTAAGATGAAGTTCTCTTGCATCCTCAGACTTCCCCCTGCTGGCAGAAACCAGGTTTTAATTTATCTTCTCACACTTTTAACAACCACTAAAACCCATGTCAACTGCTAAATGTATCCTAGGTTATCATGCCCTACACACATTCACAAACTGACCTTCATCTACCTGAGAGGATGTGGTTTGATTATGACATATTGTATAATGACAACATTTAGGACACATTCACATCGTGTACTGATAAACACCTCAACATGCCCCAAATATATATATTGCTTTCTGGTGTCTGTTGACTGCTGTATTCAGAATTTCAATGTACCCGTATTTTTAAATGTGTTAGAGCACCCTGATGAATGCTATTAAGCTGTTAAATCCACACTATCTACAGAATAATTGTTGTACGTGAAAGGAATCTTTTTCTGCATCAACTTACAATTTTTTAACAACTTTCACCGATACAAAAATCATCACCAGAATCCCACCTGCTACCGAGGCGATGATGATATATAGATTCAGCATCTTACCTGTCCAAACAGAAACCATGTGTTGTCATTTTTCTCTTTCACAGTGTATGATTTACAGTCTTTATGAGTATGTCATGCACTTCTTCCTTACTGTTCACAGGTAGAGAGAGTGTGAGGTTGGCATTGCCCATTGTGTTGTTTGCCAGACAGCAGACAGCCACAGAAGATCCTAACTCTGCGTGCAGAGTCCCGATGGTAACAGAGCCATGTTTCTCCACCTTGGTGCTTGGCAGGACTCTGTCAGGAAGCACAAAGTAGAGCATGCTGGGAGGCTTGGAATCCGAAATGCACACACACTTTACCATATCTCCCTCCGAGGTGCAGGAAGAGGCCTTCGCAATCTCAGGAGCATCTGTAAGCACAATACGTTTAGTTATGAGCCAAACCTTTATCAGAATCAGAATCAGAAACAGGTTTATTACCAGACGTAGGTTTACACTTAAGAGGAATTTGACTAGGTGTCGTGGGGCATACATAAAAGTAAAACAACAATTAAAACACAGATAGAGAACTAGAAAAAAGATTACAAATAATACAATATAATCAAATATAAATATAACAGTATTTAAATTGCAATGGAATGGAATATAAAAGAATAAAATATGGAATACAAATAAAAATCGGCCGTAATAAGAAAACAAAACAGATATTGTTGTACATTGTGTGCATTAATCCATCATCAGCATACCACTTTGTTTAAATAAAAAGTATATCCTTTATTATTTACTTACACAACACATTGAGCTGCACAGGGTTGGATTTGCCACTTCCTATTGTATTGATGGCAGTACAGTACAGGGCTCCTGTGTGTCTGGAGACTTTAAGCAGCGTGTAGTCATGTCCTTGATGCAGCTGGGCCCCCGTTTCATTATGCCACTGATAACTGGTGGCAGGAGGGTAGGCATCACTGGAGCATCTCAGCTGCACAGCTTCTCCCTCCTTTACTTCAGACTTGTGCTCAACCTTTACGTTCACCGGAGCGTCTGCATGAAAACATACGAATAAGTCTTTATGATGCCATGGCAGAAAATTCATGAAGCAAAGAATTGGAGGATTACAAAATATAGAAGAGATGGATGCACAAGAGCAGGGGTACTCAAACTTTTTTGTTAAAGGTCCACTTGTGAATGTTATACAAGGTCAATGGTCCGGATCAATGCCAGTAAAGTCTCCCCCCCCCGGAGCGGAGCAACGAAACTGAAATTAAGAAGCAGTTTTGGCGCGCAATGCCTGGGCCCCCCCCCCGGGGGTTTCCCGACATGTCATTGCAGTAAATTAAAGGGTGTTTCATGTTGTCGTTGCTGTGGACCTTCTTAATCTTTTTTAATGTTTTTTATTTTTATTTTATTTAAATTTTGAAATTGTAACGTTTATTCTGGTTTGTTTTGTGTTTGTATCTTTTATTTTAAATTTATTTATTTATTTTATGTTTTGTGAGCTGAGCTGTGTGATTTTATATTTTATGTATCTCTCTGTACAGCACTTGGTCTGGAGGTTTTAAGCTATATTAATAAAGTTGGATTGGATTGGATTAATCTACTTTATTTGGGGGCCCCCTTCTGGTCCAAGCACTTGCCTGTCGCTAAACCCGCGCCCCTGTATACACACACACATTCAATACATGCATACAGTATGATGGTTTGAACTAGTGGGAGAAATGGCACTGTTTGTCTGTAGCCAATGCCTTGAACCTCGGCAAAAATGGCATTAGAAGCATTAGAAAGTCAAGGTAAACTTGCGGTTAACTTGCTGTCTGCAATGTGTGTCACGCTCGCGCACACAAGTAAATATATATGCACGTTCATTCTCACAACGGGTCAGACACAAGAAAATGTACATTAAAGGGGACTTATCATGCAAAGACAGATTTGCTGCCGATCTGATGTCAAATCGGCAGCGGACCCACAGAAAATTGCTATCAGAAACAATGCCTGACGTGTTTTGGACGTAATCTCGTCTTTGTTTACATTAGTAAGCTTCGCTAACACTCAGAGCTAACCTGTATTGTTGAGCACATGTGTTTAAAAAGCAGGAAATAAAAAAAGGAACTCACCATGTGATAAACCCGAAAGAGAAAAAGCATTTGAGATCCATACTGTTTCAGAAATAATCTTTGACGTGTTTTAAACAGGATGGCGTTTTATCACAGCAGAATTTAACTTTATCTCCGGTAGAATTCTGATCAGGCATTAGCTCCGCCTCCTCTTTTCTTTTTTTTCAAGCTAAGGACCCAAAATCCGTGTTTCTCTAACAGTGCTGCAAAAGAGGGGTTTGAGCAGTATGAGGGATGGCTACAATGGGTGATCTGTTTGGTATTTTGAAAAAAATACTTCACAGACATGTTTTGTATAGGCATGGCCCTACAATATATGTTTCCAATATAGCATAATAGGTCCACTTTAATTTACATCAGAATCAGAAATTCTTTTTTTTAATAATTTTCTTTTTTTACAATGGGACACAGGGCTCGGTCCGGATTGATTTGCATTTCGGTCCGGATCCGGACCTTGGTCCGGAGTTTGAGAAGCCCTGCACTAGAGGAAGAATTATAATTAATCCTGAAGGAAACATGAATCTCAGCAAATTTGACCGTTGTTGAGACATTTGATACAAAACTACAAATGTCAACCTCATGGTGGCACTAGAGGAAAAGTCACAGGATCACCAAAGTCAGTATGCTCTGCTCTGGGGACAATGTATGCCTATACAAAATGACATGGCAATCCATCCAATATTTGTTAAGATAATTTTGTCTTTGAAAAAAATCATATTAAAGATGGACAGAATTTGCTCTCCTTCGTGTAGCCAGCACATCATCCCAAATAAAAAATGGTATTTGACAGCACAATGCTCTTTTTCCACGGCAGATGAATACATGATGACTGATACTCCTCTGACAGTGACTAAACCTGCTTTTCAAAGCTTTAAAGTTGTATTTGAATATATGTATGCTGGTAAAACAGCTTCTACACTGGGTAAGAAAAACATGAATCATCTCATTACAATTTCTTTCCACTTTTTGTCCTTGGTTGTCTCTGTTCTCTTCATGGGTGCTTCCCATTAATTTTATTACAGTTTTCATATTAATGCAAATGCTTTGTAACATGTTTGGTACTGTAAAATAAATGGAATACCTGGTTTATCAAAGCATTGCTGTATAAGATTAGGTCTCACTTATGAACTAAGTTTAAAGTGTTAACATCTTGTGTTAGAGCTAGTATTTTTGTTTTGATAAGAAAGGCCACCTAATCGTGATGTCTGTAGTCAACCAGAGTACAAAAGACTACAATTCCCACGGCGCCTCCTCTAAAGTGACAGTGATGGGCAACCTGTTAGAAAGACGCCTTCGAGGCACGGTTTTTAACCGTTCAATTACCCTTTAAGTTTTCATGTTATATAAGCCTTAACAAGAAAGAAAGCAAGAAAGAATACCTAAGTTGTTTGTTATATTTATTTGTTTTGACTATTGTAAAAGCCTATTTTCTTTGTTACATGTTTGTTATTTTATTTTGAGCAAACCCATTGCATAATATCATCCAAACCATCGGAGGCCAAGCAACTCATCAACTGTAAGTAACACAAAGATAAAGGAAAGAAAACGAGTAAAACATGTCTGTTTAACGCGTCTAGTGGCTTGATAGTAAAATAAGGAAGGGAGCCACGACACCTTGATTGTAGACACGGCCCTACTCACGTTTCACTTTGAGGGTCCTGGATGTTTTGTGGTGCTGCCCCCCCTTGTATGTGACCGTGCACTGTACAGGCTTGTTGTGGTCAGCGCTGGTCGTTTGAAATGTCAGAGTAGATGTGGCTGACCACTGGCCATCTTCAAGCTGCTGGGGTTGGACATGTTCCTCCCCAGAGTGACTCCAGGTGAAGACGGGAGGAGAGGTGGGGCAGGAGTGAGACACAGAGCAGGATCCAGACACACTGTGCCCCTCTGTCACCTCCTCTTTCATAGAGAACCCGATGGTATCAAGTTCACCTGTACCAAGGAGAAAGTTATTGATAATGGCAATGGCAAAGATCATAAGGTACAGTATTTCTGGTAAGGTAAAGCTCTTTGTCTGCGGGGCTGTTCAAAACTGTGTTATTCTTTTATGTGTATTGCCTCACTTGCTTTGAATTAAGGGATTTGGAATCACTTTAGATAGCAAAAATACAAAATAATCTTAAAATTCCCAAATCACTCAACACATGAAAAGAGGACTGTGGGGTAAAGGATAGTAGATGGATATTTACTCTTTTATTAAGAACGTGCCAGTTGTTCTTACATGGGTTGTTATGATCTATGCCATGTCTTGCCCTCATTCAGATTTGGTCAAATATAACAATGCTAGAGTAGAGTTAGGGTAAGGTTAAGAAAAAACATTTCCCTCTAATAACACAAACATCTCTAAATTGGTGGCATTTGCCCTAATTCCATACATCTGTCAGTCCAGACAAAAACAGTTTCAATATGTTTCGATTGCTATTTACACAAATAAGGAAGTTGGAATCAGAGAGTTTTGAAGAATAGAAACCTAAAATGACCTCTGTTATCTATTGGTTGCGGCCTCTGTTGAGGTACCAATTACACATTTAGCTTTCAAAGACAATTTAAATAAAGTTTAGAAATGTGCTGGTCTTTTGGCACTAATGCAAAATGACTTCTTTAAAGTATGTCAATAACATAGAGAATGTAACAAAATGGCAAATTATCCTGTCTCCATTTGCGCTGATTGCAGTAAAACAGACTACTGGAAACATGCAGTAATTAATTTTGCTGTCATAGAAGTCTGGTGAAAGTTGTTAATAATACTTACTTATCATTGTGATAGAGACTGCGTTGTCTTTGTAAGAAAACTTTTCATAGTCAGTCATTTCGATCCTGAAATGAAAAGGCCCTTGGTCACTTTGTTGAAGTGGATCGATCTTCAGAGTGCAGATTTTCTGTCTGACGTCTCCCAGCAGCTCTGTCCGATTCCGATACTGTTGGATTATTTTGGACTTCTCTGGGTGATAGATGACCTGATGTGATGCCTCAGACCACATCCCAATGAATTCAGTGACCTTCTTGCCTGGATCTGGATATGAAAACGAGCAGGGGATCACCACACAGGATCCGGGTAGACCTTTGATTGAGGACGGCATCTTAATTGTCCAAGATGAGGCTTCAGTTTGAGTAACTGTAGTAAAATGCAGAAGATAATGTGAGGAATTGAAACAAAGAGAAGTTAGAGGCGAGAAGGACCTGTTATATAAATTACAAATATACCTGACTAATACATTATTGGAAAAAACAAAAAAGATAACAAAATAACAAAAAGACAAAAAGCTGACTGATTGCACTTCTGAGCAGTGCAGTATAAATACTGGATATACATTGTAGAAAATGTACAGTACCTTTTAAGCAAAGGCCCACAAAAAAGAGGGTCCATGTGAAAGAGGCCATCTCGTCCTCCCTGAGACCGACCTGCAAATGAAGTGACAAATATTTTTCAAGTGCTACTGTTATTTCCCTGGGTAGGAGATGACTTCCCTAGTTTCCATTCCACTTCTTTTTTTTTTCATCACATATACATGGTTTCTGTTCAGTCAGATGTATATTGCGGTTGTTTACAAATCATCATTTTTTTGTGGTCTGGACAAAGCCATTCAAGTGTATATCTATATCATTTTTAAATTGGTACATATAACTTTCTATGTGTGCTTATCACTGTGGTGCCTTCAAAAGCTCAACCCTTGGCTTTATCACAACATTTGCCAACCAGCTGGTCTCACTTCCTTTTTAGGGTTTTTGATATATTTTAGTAATCATAACTTCTCCAATTTTATTGTTGTGAGACATATTTCCCACTGTGTGAAACGTTGAGTCCTTGAAGTCACTGGCACCTATCAACAACTCTGTTACTATAGTACTATAAATATTAATGATATTGAATACCTCAGTCATATTTCCTTTAAACTTTTTTTCTAAGTATCGCGATCCCATAAAGCATTTAGTGTGCCAATGGGCCATTTGTCTTTAAAATAACTTTATTATGCACGCCACATTTGCCTAACAGTGGGGGGTGTCACTTTTTTAAATCATGGGTTTATGACAACATTTTTGGTTTTATTTTCTAATATATTATTATTCATTATTTGCAAAGGCTTTGTCTGCAAAACACAAAAAGCAGCAATAGAAAGCAGTGGTTAAACCTCATGGAAGAGCACAGTGTGCAATGACCACTTTTTAGCACTAAAAACTAATCAAGAGGCTTGGATAGTATCAGCTGGAAGGTTTAATGTATTTTTCACATGTTATAAATGGTTTGCTACTGTACAAAGGCATGACTTTAAAAAATACCTTGACAACAACGTGCTTGGATACTATACAATTATATAAAATCCATGTTATACAGAGAGGAAACATTGTCCTGAATAGAAAGTGCAGATTAAAAGCAATGACAAGTAAGTTACTTAAAAAGCCATAGAACAGGAAAATTGCACTATACCTTGCATTTGTGTTTCACAGATGCAGAGACAGGATTTCCTTTGCATGGTTTAGCAGCCACAACTTGATGAAGTGTGTCACGTGTGCAATTTGCTCACATTGTTATTATCTAAAACAATAAAACTCAACAGTTATTTGTAACTCAATCAGTTAGACTAGATGACAACCTTTGCAAAAAAAAAAAAAAGGAAACGTTTTTCCATTTGACAAAAATGAGACCTCATGGAAATAAGCGATGCTTTATTTCCTGTTCACAGATTCACACCACAGGGTGGAAATGTGGCCACTGAAATACCTCTCATGTTGCAGTACAGTGGTCGTTTGTGAGCTCTTCAAACATCACAGTTGAATGACCAGAAATACTTGCTGAGTTGGAGATTAAAATTGTCCACAGTAAATTCAGTCTTTCATGGACCTTGATCTCCAACAAAAGCCAGGTTATGCATTTCTCCCCTTATTGAATGAACGTTGTTGTTCTCTTGGAGAGCGAGGTCAACATAACGGATGCTGCGAGAGAGGTGGACTTTCTTCACAGATAAACTCTGCTTTCCTTTTATTCTCCATCTGTCCTCATCGCACTGTGTCAAGAAGCCGTTCAGCTTCAATGTGTCCTCTTTCTGGCAGGACAGTTTCCTGGGAGTGGAAGTGATGAAGCCGGTCGACCCTGAGTTACCCATGGCAAGATGAGCTCGATTTGGAATATCTGTGAATCCAAAAACAGAAAATGCACCAAAATTAAATGTTATATTCAACCAGAAATACAATGCAGAACTCTAGATTCTACACACATATATTTTCACCTGGTAACTGAGAGGATTATCCTGCTCGCCTCTAGTTTGTATGCTGTTCCAAAACTGAATGAGAGGTTGCCAGGTCTCTCCACTTTTAAGTCAGTCCTGCGGGGCAGACTGAAGGCCTTACAACATCTAAGGAGCCATTATTGTATTTCACAGGATGAGATTAAGCACAGTAACAATACAAGCTAATCACTGCTGATGAATGGATCTTGTGATAATTTAGTTTGAATCATTCAGTCAATCAATTGCTCGCAACTTCCTTCCAAAGAATGTTTACATTTCATCATGTTGAATGCCAGCTCAGATTTCATCACGAGTATCTAAGATGGAATTCTCTTTTTTTACGTTTCATCTCTTTACTGTTGGTGTACTTAATATAAAGTATACTCTAAGTATGAGAAATATGAGATGAAGTATACTTTTTGTGTGTTGATGAGTCTGTTTACATTATATCCAGGCCATTTCTTGTTTTTGAACTAAGAGCTCTGGCTGTCTTTTCATAGTAGTGTATATTTGTAATTCACTCGTTGTATTATTTTGTGTTTAAATTAAGAGGCAATGTCGTTGCTGAGGGAAAGTCCTTCTGCTGTTCATATGATACCAATAAGTGACTGTCATGGAAAATGTAATCAGGATTTTCTCTCTGAATACACAACTTCAAGACATAAACAACGGCACAGATATGTTTTGCTGATCTTGAGCTATCTTGTTGTAAGGCAGAACCATAGAATTTGTTTTACTTTCCATCACATGTGGCGCCTAATACAGTTTGTTCCCTTTTTTTGTTTTAACCCCACTGTGAAATGTCTCAGGCTACTCTTAAACATTCCCCACCATCTGTCGACACAACTGAATGAGAACTGATAGTGCCAATTGTGTATTAAAAATAAATCCATGGCAGTTTAGTTATTACAATACTCTCCAAAAACAGGTTTCTCTGAAAGTCCGGTGTAGCAGCTACATATACAGGAAGTGGAACAATTTTTTTAAAGATATATTTAAAACACCCAAATGTAAAGAAAGAAGAAGCTTTTTACATATATTCCTGTGGAACAATCGACAGACACACATAAACAAAACAGACATACAAATAAGCATTTATGTACAAAAGAGGTGTATAACTTGCGCAATGTACCATTGATTGGGAAATACAAGGTCACATGACATTGAAGTTGTTGAAAAACGTTAAAGACTAAAAATAACCATTAGAATATTCAAACAGAAAAGGCCCTATAATCAAACAAAAAAGGTATTTATCGAGATAGGTAATGATAGTACAGGAGCAAATACCCCAAATTATTTGAGGTAGCCATAGAACTAAGCAAAAATTTGTTTTTTTCATGAACTTAATATGTCTAGTTTTGTAATGAATGGTCAAATACAAATATTTTAGTGGCAAATCATTTATGGTTCATGTTTGGATTATTCCCATAAAAGAGTGAATGTGTAGGCATCTTCAAAGGACACAGTGTCTTCTTATTACATATATCTCTGGAAATAATAATCAGAATGTCACCAAATGTGGACTAGATGTTCATAGACAGGTTTTGCATACAATAAGGAAGAGTTAATTAATACCTGTGTCCATTTTTGTAATATATACACATGAAAACACATAAATCATAGGTGGGAATGGCAAGAAATAAAAAATCCAGGAGGTATGTATATTGTTTTCTGTCATTATTAAAGTAAAGAACAACAGAACAATGTTATAATGTTTTCACATGATTGAATTTAACATTTTGAAAGAATACATTTGGAAAACATTTAAGATGGATCATCATAATACATACTTTACAAATATGAGACATGTTGTGTCTCGTCAAATGTGTTAGTTATGTTTATGTATTTTGTCTGTCATTTCCTGTTTCATACTTACCTCTTGTCTTTTATTTCAGGCCCTGTTTCTTCCTCCCCTTGTGTGTTTTTCCCACCATCATCAGTGTCTGCCCCTCCCCTGATTGTTTCCACCTGTTCCCACTCACCTCGTGTTTAAATAGTCCTGTCTCTCCCCTGTCCTGTGTCAGTTCGTCTTGTTTGTTTCTCTGAATGGTCGTGCTAAGCCTCAGCTCAGAAAAGGATCGCTTTCACTCATGTCAGGTTTTGTTTTGTTTGTTAATTTTGTAGGCTTACGTTTTTCTTAAGTTCTCTTTTTGTTATGTCTAGTTTTTTCCTCCTTTTGAGCGCCTTTTGTTATTTCCAACCTGTTAAGAGGGATTACCTGACCTGTGAAATCAAAATTACTTTTTTTTACATCCAAGACTTTGTCTCTGGGTCGTGCATTTGGGTTCATCAGTTTGTGTCGAGATCCTTACAAGACACACAGGAGTTCTCCTTATATGTACATGCTTCATGTAGTCTGTTGTTTTCAGTCATATGAAAATGACATATTTTGTTTAAACTAAGCGACACGCCCAAAGCATTAGCGCTTCTTGCTCAGCTCTAACCAACTGGTAGCAGGGT